ATATTCGTCCTGTTTCTTCACTGAAATTTGTGTATTCACCAGAAAAGTCAATATTCGTCCTGTTTCTTCACTGAAATTTGTGAATTCACCAGAAAAGTCAATATTCGTCCTCTCTCTGAGTGGCCAGTGAGTGATCAGATGAGAAAAGACAAAATGATGAGCCAGTTCCAAGTGCTGAAATTAAGGACTGGCTGTCCACTCGGCCAAAAAATTCAGGTTTTCATTGAGACAAGGCACCTAAATATCATTACAGTTAATCAATGTATCAATTCCTTTGATGACGATGTGTTTGGACACTTTCTGAACATTTTTTTAAAAAAAAAACTAAACAAAAAATAACACTGGATATATTTTGTTTGTTTGTTTAAATGAATGCTGGTAAATCATCTGGAAAAATAGTCGTCCCCTCATGGGATGCGATTTTTTTGTTTGAAGCCCCAGCCTGGCTTCTGCCCGGGGCCCTGAATATAGCCGGGGCATTGATATGGCCTAGCCATAGATAGGGCCAAACCATGGGTGATGGTCATCCGCATGGTGGCACTTTGTGTCACTGGGTGTTTATTGCTTGTGTGTTGTCCTGGTGGGGTACAACTACCTACCTACCATCATCCAGACATGCTGATGAGTCATGAGGACATCAATCACCAGAAGTGACATTAATCACCAGAAGTGACATCAATTACCAGAAGTGACATCAATCACCAGAAGTGACATCAATCACCAGAAGTGACATCAATCACCAGAAGTGACATCAATCACCAGAAGTGACATCAATCACCAGAAGTGACATCAATCACCAGAGTGAGTGAATCATCAAATCACAAGACCAGAAGTGACATCAATCACCAGAAGTGACATCAATCACCAGAAGTGACATCAATCACCAGAAGTGACATCAATCACCAGAAGTGACATCAATCACCAGAAGTGACATCAATCACCAGAAGTGACATCAATCACCAGAAGTGACTTCAGTCACCAGAAGCAATCACCAAATGTGACATTACCTGATGTCATAATGAAAGGTGACTCCCCTTCATATAGCAATTTATTTCATCCGAAAGGTACATTTCTTTTTTAAAAGGTATTTATGTTTTTATGTAGGCCTACACGATATTAAATGACGGTGTGGAGAAAGGTCCACTACTTTTACTTTACTTACAGCATATTTACATTACCAGGACAAGTAATTCTCTGTCACAATAATAAAGCAACAATAAGTACAGTGGCTAAAATGTAATTAAAATGTATCTGCAACGATTTTCAAAAACCAATTTTCAAGAGAAATGTTGTTCTTAAAGAATATATAGGTGAAATTCGGGGCTGGAATTTGATTAAACATTTTTAGTTAATTTCCAGGGTAAAAAAGTCATTGGATATTTGTCAGCTTTTCTTGGCCATTTTAGGCCAAGTTATGATATTTCTAGGCAAATTTACATTCAGAAGTTTGCCACTGCTTACTGAAGAGTCGATTCTCAATACCACTGTCTAAACCAATGCAAGCCAGTCTGCTGCCTAATCACCTGCAGATGGGATTGAACCCTGCACCCAGGCTTTACAGCATGTTTGTAATGCCTAAGCCACAGATGAAGGAGTTAAATTAACAACCACTTAGGACTGAAAGAGTTAAAATATGTTCTTATTGTTAGAGAAATAACAACCACTTAGGACTGAAAGAGTTAAAATATGTTCTTATTGTTAAAGAAACAAGTCAGAAGGAGACTGGTTAAAAGGGTTAAACAGCTAAGAAAGGCTATGGCACATAACAAGAAAAACTAATTAAAATAACATTTTCCAACAGGAGGGACAGGAGGTAAGGTGGGAGACAGGAGGTAAGGTGGGAGACAGGAGGTAAGGTGGGAGACAGGAGGTAAGGTGAGAGACAGGAGGTAAGGTGGGAGACAGGAGGTAAGGTGAGAGACAGGAGGTAAGGTGGGAGACAGGAGGTAAGGTGGGAGACAGGAGGTAAGGTGGGAGACAGGAGGTAAGGTGAGAGACAGGAGGTAAGGTGGGAGACAGGAGGTAAGGTGGGAGACAGGAGGTAAGGTGAGAGACAGGAGGTAAGGTGGGAGACAGGAGGTAAGGTGAGAGACAGGAGGTAAGGTGGGAGACAGGAGGTAAGGTGGGAGACAGGAGGTAAAATGGGAGACAGGAGGTAAGGTGGGAGACAGGAGGTAAGGAGTGAGACAGGAGGTAAGGTGGGAGACCGGAGAGTTTCTTTCAGCTGGACTGGGATGAGAGCAATGTTCTGCTACAGGATGATGTTTTCTGTAGCAATAACTGGATTGCAGTCAAGGGCATCTTCCATTCACTAAAAAAAAAAAAATCTTTGCTGCAAAGAGTATCAATTTTTAAGGCAGTGTAGGATGGTGGTTTTGAGGGAAGACTTTTGGGGTTCACATGGGAAGATAAAATCAGCAAATACAGATTACAACAAGACAGAAGATGTAAATTTAGAAATCCAAAAACGAAGATGGAGGTGGATTGGACTCATCCTCAGAATGAAGAGAGACGACCGAGACAGAAAAATGCAATGGACACCACAAGGACAGCGAGGAAGAGGCAGGCCCAGAGGCACTTGGAGGCGAACCTTTGAGGCTAAATTCAAGGCTACGCGAAGATCAAAATCAGAGACAGAGAGGATGGCTCAGGATTGAATTGAGTGGTGACAGTTGTCTCTGCCTTATGTGGCTCTGGGATGGTAGGGAGGGGGAGAACCTGAGGATTGAGGGCCACATGACTAGCACAATCATCACAAACTATGCAAGTCAGGGTGTTCATTTTAGCCAACCAATACAAAAATACTTCCATCACCTTACAGAGGATCCAACACTAAAGGTGAAAATCAGGTTCTGTTCTTACATATTGTAGAAAAAAATGTCAGAGCACAATGTATGAAGAAAAAGACAAATCTGTCATAAAAGATCTCAGCATGCAAGAAGACTAGGTAATAAACAGCACCATGTCTCAGAAGCTAAACAGCTTTTGCTGCATCAAGCATCGCAGTGGTTTACAAAGAACAGTAACAGAAGATATGGTGCCTCGAAGAGGCAGGAGTATGACCAGTGAGAAGGTGGACACAAAACATTAGAGACGTGAAAATGTATAATAAGAACTGCATATGTTCAAAACGAATTGAGGCAATCATATAGGACTTCTAAATGGGAAAATAAAAGCATGGTAATGAATTTCACCACTGGATATAGAAGAAACAGGTGTAAACGAAATGACTGGAAAATTATGCAAAATTGAAGTTACAAAAAGCAAGCCAGATGAAAATAATGCAAACTGAAAAAAGTTTGCTAATTACAACAAACTAGGAGAGGTTCATGTGTCTGTAGAGAACAGACTATAACAAACTGGAAGAGGTTCATATGTCTGTAGAGAACAGACTAAAACAAACTAGGAGAGGTTCATGTGTCTGTAGAGAACAGACTATAACAAACTAGGAGAGGTTCATGTGTCTGTAGAGAACAGACTATAACAAACTGGGAGAGGTTCATGTATCTGTAGAGAACAGACTACAACAAACTGGGAGAGGTTCATATGTCTTTAGAGAACAGACTATAACAAACTAGGAGAGGTTCGTGTGTCTGTAGAGAACAGACTATAACAAACTAGGAGAGGTTCATGTGTTTGTAGAGAACAGACTACAACAAACTGGGAGAGGTTCATGTGTCTGTAGAGAACAGACTATAACAAACTAGGAGAGGTCATGTGTCTGTAGAGAACAGACTATAACAAACTGGAAGAGAGGTTCATATGTCTGTAGAGAACAGACTATAACAAACTAGGAGAGGTTCATATGTCTGTAGAGAACAGACTATAACAAACTAGGAGAGGTTCATGTGTCTGTAGAGAACAGACTATAACAAACTAGGAGAGGTTCATGTGTCTGTAGAGAACAGACTACAACAAACTAAGAGAGGTTCATGTGTCTGTAGAGAACAGACTACAACAAACTGGGAGAGATTCATGTGTCTGTAGAGATCAGACTATAACAAACTTGGAGAGAGGTTCATGTGTCTGTAGAGATCAGACTTCAACAAACTGGGAGAGAGGTTCATGTGTCTGTAGAGAACAGACTATAACAAACTGGGAGAGGTTCATGTGTCTGTAGAGAACAGACTACAACAAACTAGGAGAGGTTCATGTGTCTGTAGAGAACAGACTATAACAAACTGGGAGAGGTTCATGTGTCTGTAGAGAACAGACTATAACAAACTTGGAGAGGTTCATGTGTCTGTAGAGAACAGACTATAACAAACTTGGAGAGAGGTTCATGTGTCTGTAGAGATCAGACTTCAACAAACTGGGAGAGAGGTTCATGTGTCTGTAGAGAACAGACTATAACAAACTGGGAGAGGTTCATGTGTCTGTAGAGAACAGACTATAACAAACTTGGAGAGAGGTTCATGTGTCTGTAGAGATCAGACTTCAACAAACTGGGAGAGAGGTTCATGTGTCTGTAGAGAACAGACTATAACAAACTAGGAGAGGTTCATGTGTCTGTAGAGAACAGACTACAACAAACTAGGAGAGGTTCATGTGTCTGTAGAGAACAGACTACAACAAACTGGGAGAGGTTCGTGCATTGCTATAGGTTAAACAACTATAACACACTGGAAGAGGTTCCTGTGTTTGTAGAGATAAGACTACAACAAACTGGGAGAGGTTCGTGTGTCTGGTAGAACAAGAAAAAACTAAGAGAGGTTGCTGAATAAACTGAATGTACAAAAAAGCCAGGCAGATGAAAATAATCAAATGACAATAGTTTACTAACTACAACAAACTGATAGAGGTTCAGTGGTCGTTAGAGGTTAGACAAACTACAACAAACTGAGAGAACATATATTTACACACATCACAACACTACACAACCATAGAGGCATGTACACAAGTTGTGGTCTGACAGTAGCTACAACACACAATGCCACACACAAGATATACACACTATGTACACATGACAGTACATTCATTCACTGGTCAACCCTATACTGTCATTGTGGCCAACCACTGACTCTTGTAGAAATGTGACTAACTGTAAAGGTTCTGAAGTTCCGTCTGCTGTTGGCACCACCTGGGCCAGCTCTTGGGAAGCCAGGCTGGATTCTGTCAGAATTACTGAAAGATATACAAACACAAACAATTTAAATGTAACCGAGTAAAGTGGTAATTAGTCTGGTTGTTTGTATACCTGTTAGTATACTCATTAGTATGCTCATTAGTATACTCATTAGTATACTCATTCTGGTCATTAGTCTAGTCATTAGTAGTTGTTAGTTTAGTCGTTAGTCTAGTCGTTAGTTTAGTCATTGGTCTAGTCGTTAGTCTAGTCGTTAGTTTAGTCATTAGTTTAGTCGTTAGTCTAGTCGTTAGTTTAGTCATTGGTCTAGTCGTTAGTCTAGTCGTTAGTTTAGTCATTAGTCTAGTCGTTAGTCTAGTTGTTAGTTTAGTCATTGGTCTAGTTGTTAGTTTAGTCATTAGTCAAGTCGTTAGTTTAGTCGTTAGTTTAGTCATCGGTCTATTTGTTAGTTTAGTTGTTAGTCTAGTCGTTAGTTTAGTCATTAGTTAACTCGTTAGTCTAGTCGTTAGTTTAGTCGTTAGTTTAGTCATTGGTCTAGTTGTTAGTTTAGTTGTTAGTCCAGTCATTGGTCTAGTTGTTAGTTAAGTCATTAGTTTAGTCGTTATTCTAGTCGTTTGTTTAGTAGTTAGTTTAGTCATTGGTCTAGTTGTAAGTTTAGTCGTTAGTCTAGTCATTAGTTTAGTCGTTAGTCTAGTCGTTAGTTTAGTCGTTAGTTTAGTCATTGGTCTATTTGTTAGTCTAGTTGTTAGTCTAGTTGTTAATTTAGTCATTAGTCTAGTTGTTAGTCTAGTTATTTAGTCTAGTCCTAAGCTCAGGTTCCAACATCACTGCCTGCAGATGGGTCGCCCCAAAATGCTCAATTCCTGTGCCAGTGGGAATTACACAAAAATATCTTTCACTATCCCCATTAAAAACTAGTTTTTTTAAAACTTGTTAGTTTCAGCAAAAACATAAAGCACGCAGGCACACAAAAAAGTAAAAATTTATAAGGCAGCTGTCTGATGTGCCAACACTAATGGTCCCCTAACAGAACTGCAGCTTCCTGTCTATTCAAACGTCAATCGTGAAGGCCGGCACTGCACCCACAGGAAAACTACATGCCATTCTAAATGTACATTTTAGTGCAGTCAACAGTTGAGCAAACTAGAAAAGAAGAAGATGAGTGGACAAGACCATGTGTACACGAACAGGATCACAACTGACAGTCCTCATCATCTGGTTGTGTCGTTACATGTTCTAGGGTGCTCACAGTCTAGTCCTTCATTCGGTTCTATCCTAGATAATCCATCTGATATCTTAGATATAATCTAGTACATCACGCTTGGCCCTTCTTTTACTGTTGTGCGTGTGTGTGTTGTGTCTTTCTATGTGTGTTGTGTCTGTGTGTGTGTTGTGTCTGTGTTGTGTCTGTTGTATGTTTATATGTTGTGTGTGTGTAGTGTGTGTGTTGTGTCTGTGTATGTTTATATGTTGTGTGTGTGTGGTGTGTGTGTTTGTGTCTGTGTATGTGCTGTGTCTGTGTGTGTTTATGTGTTGTGTCTGTTGTGTCTGTGTTGTGTGTTGTGTCTGCGTGTGTGTTGTGTCTGTGTGTGCTTATGTGTTGTGTCTGTGTTTATGTGTTGTGTCTGTGATTGTGTCTGTGTCTGTGTGTGTGTGTATGTATTGTGTCTTTGAGTGTGAGAATTCCTATGCTTGTTGTGTCACTGTGTGTTCTGTCTGTGTGCCTGAGTGTTGTTTTATGTCTGTGCATATGTTGTGTCTGTGGATCTGTATGTGCTGTGTCTGCATGTGTACATGTTGTGTCTATAAGTGTGTGTATGTCTGTGTATGTTGTGGTGGTAGTGTTTGAATGTGTTTGTGTCTGTCTGTCTTACTGTGTGTCTGTGTTGTGTGTGTACTTTGCATGGATATCTGAATGTTTGCATTTGCTATACATGCTTTTGTACTTTTACATGACATTTATACTATGAATTCTGATATATGAACATAATGCACTTGATATATAAATGACAACTGCCATGTGAAAGATGAGTTTTAGAAAGGGCAAAATGTAAGACAGGCCTGCATGCCCAATTTGTAACCTCTGGAAAAAAAGTCTGTTCATTCTGTCACAGGCAGACATCATCAACTACGTATAAGTTGAACCGACTGAAAAATCAACGAGTTTGAGTAACTTTGACATTCCCTTTCTAGAACCATATGTTGTTTATTAGCAGAGAGATATTTGCAAATGAATAACCTAGTTATTTATATAGAATCTGACGTAATTGTTTACATGCCATATCAAAGATAGAGATCCTTGACACATTCGCTTTCTGGAAGACTTCTAGAAAGCGGTCAATAAAATCAGCATATTTTGGTGAGAGTTATCTGATGCAATCGATACGCAATTAGAAAACCCCATGAAGAGAACCTAGACAATAAACAAGCTGAGCCGTACTAGAATCTTCTAGAAGTAGTTTAGTGAGTTGAAAACGCATTTCACATATGCCAGTACTCAATATAAATAGTGGGTAAGAAACCACTTGAGCATTCTTTAGTCTACGAGACTTAGAATAAGAGGGACTAGTCACATGGACCCTCACAGACAAGAACCTTCAGTCGTCCAGATTTAGAAGCAGAGGAACCATGCAGCCTTGAAGACAGTCACAAAAGAGGAGACATCAATGAGGCAGTGAAGAACGGAGACATTAGACAAGATAAATTGATCCATGGTTAACAGAGACACATCAGATAAAAACATTATAAGATAAACACAATTTTAAAAAAAGATAACATCAGAGAAAACTATCATTGCATAAGGTGTCTCTGGCGGAGGCAGGCAGAAAAGCAAAAAGTAGAATCTTATTAGCTCTCTCGACACACAAAGTGGTAAAATAAGAAGTCCATTCAGAATGCTATGTGATGACACACTATATCAGACACATTTTAGAAGAGGAGTTTTTCCAGAACAAATGGGAAAGATAATAAATATTAGATAACTTCTGACATTTCGTATTTTTAATGTACTGTTTCTATAGATGAAAACAGTTACATTATGTTCATTCCTCTGCCTGTAATGATTTCTATTTCACTATGTCATAATCTGTTAATATATGTTATAGATATAAGAAATTTGTTCTTTTTTCTAGTTTAAAGTTAGTTGCATTTCCTGTACAGAACGTATCAAATCAACCCAAGCATTTGTTGTTTGTGGTTTTACCAAACCATTTTACGTCTAGTACTTTGCCATCACTTTTTAAATGGTCAACGCTCAACATCACCGATGAAATAGTGCAAACAAGACTGCTGCCAAATCATCTGCAGCTGAATCGACGAGGTATTTTGGAGTCATGAGCCACATCCATAGCCTCTAAACCACAGATGCCAAAAGGCTGCTGACAACTTGTTCTAGTATCAATTTTGTTTTTTAACTGTAACATTTACTGTAACTCTCTCCTATATACTGCTAATTATCACACCTTCTGTGTTTTGAATATGAACCCTTTTAACCTGGCAATGCTAAAATGGGAATTCCTAAAACAGTTCTACAAAAAGAAAAATGTTAAACAGGCAATTAATATACTTTTTAAACAATTTATTTATGTTTATTTTTTTCAAAATAAATAAATTTATAAAAAAGGATTAATCAATAAACATAAACACAGTGAAGCATTAAATGGAATACATTCCCAGATATATGTATCAGGTAACTAACGCCCTGACCCATGACCTCTATCACTGATGTTTAGAGAAAAATTTGATGCCAACAACAGCAGGTTAGGACACACTCAATAGCATTAACTGTACGTCGCATAAAGAGGTCTACCCGTGTGGGTTTTGTGACCCCATTATGTCATCCCTCCCCTTCAACCTTGTGATTGATTGGACACTAAAGAACACAGTAGAAAAGACATCGAGAGGCAAACAATAGACTCCATTCACCATACTTGAGGACCTTGATTTTGCAGATGATATAGCACTCCTATCACATAAACATGAACATTTCAAGAAAAAAGTAACAGACTACACAGCACAGCAGAAATGGTGGGACTGAGAATAAATACAAGGAAAACTAAGATTATGACAAACAGTCCAAACCAACAATCAGTGACCATAAGTAACCAATCACTTGAAAATGTAGAACATTTCACATATCTTGGCAGTGTGGTGTCCCTACAGGGAGGGACAGAGGAAGACATACAGTCAAGTCTGAACAAAGCTAGAGCTGCTTTTGGAAGGATGAGGCAAATCTGGAAATCCAACAGTTACTGCAGAGAAATGATACTTCGCCTCTACAAGAGCATTATTTTACCAGTTCTTCTTTATGGAGCAGAATGCTGGAGAATGACCAAAAAGGATGCACACGAGCTATCCACCTTCCACCACACATGTCTACGTAGAATTATCAAAATTGTGTGGCCAAATACAATCTTAAACACTAAACTACTTCAAGTCACAAACCAAGAAACTCTAGACTGTATGATAACCAAGAGAAGATGGAAATGGCTTGGCCACGTTATAAGAATGAATCCTGATATACCTGACAAAACAGCTCTCACATGGACACCAAAGGGAAAGAGAAAACAGGGGCGCCCAAAAACAACATGGAGACGAACAATTGAAAGTGACCTGAGTGTGGCATCTTTGACATGGAAAACTGCACTGACGATGCACAGGACAGGAAAGCATGGAAAGTCCTCTCTGAAGCCTCATGTGCCACTAGGCATAATGAGAACTGATGATGATGATGTGGGAAGAACAAGAATAGACCTACTGACCTCCCCATCAAGCATGTCCTAGGAGTCAACTAATTAGGGGCTTTTTTTGAAGTCGGAGTGCAACAGCTGGAGCAGCAAGGAACAACCAACTGCACACAACTAAGTCAGTAAAACGAATGTACATGCAAAACAGGTCCTGGCACAAAGTCCAAATGGACGAACAACAAGGACTTTCCGCCGCAGCTTACAGTAGGTAAACAAAGAAGAAGTAAACAGGTGACTATACACAAGCCAAGTCAGAAAAGTGACATTTACGGGGAATACATTCCAACCATAAATGTCTCTTTTGTGGCTTTTGGGGACAACAGTCATGTTCTGCACTGCACCTATTTATTTTCTCTATTAGGTGTTGTAACTCCTGCTCATTAGGAAATATAGACTTAAGGCAGCTCACATGTGCTCTGTCTACTTCAGTGAAAACCAATAAAGAGTTGCTCTGCTGATGGCTCCAGCTGTAACCTGACTACAAGTCATGTCTTTTCCTCTCTGAGTTGATCACCCCCGCTCACCCCCCCCCCCCCCCAGACTATCCGTTCACCCCCCCCTCCCCCCCCACTATCCGTTCACCCCCCCCCCCGGCTATCCGCTCCCCCCCCCCCCCCCCCCCCCAGACTATCCGTTTGCCCCCCCCCCCCCCCAGACTACCCCACCCCCCCCCCCCCCAGACTATCGTTTACCCCCCCCCCTGGATGAATCAGTTTTTCGATGTATGGATACTCTGTTCAGTTGCACAGTCCACTTGATCTTGGACAGCCTTTAAAGTGTCCACTGTATCATCAAGCAGCTCACCATCCAGAGAAATGGCAGCATCCAGTCTGTAATCCTGCTCATTACCCGGCACCCTAAGGAACACCAACACATAAACCCAGCCTGGCTGGCAACAGAACTCACATGAAGCCTAGGCCCAAAAACACACCATGAAACAAACTGTCCACTCACTATGTTGGAGTTGACCTTGAAGCCTTTGTTGCTGGGTGACCGGACAGTCCTTGTGGGCCAGCAGAAGTGTTTTCAGCTGCGCCACCTCCCCTCGTAGAAAGCTTCACCTCCGACTGAGAATGTACAAAAGCACAAGTTCAAGACAAGATGTTACTAAGCATGCTATCATCACTAACATTACGCAGTAAATTCTTTGTAGAATGTCACTTTTATTTTGATCACGTCTGCTCCCCAGGTACCGAGGCCTCTTTATAGGAATAAAAAGGAACAGACCCAATGCCCTTCAACAAGCATGTCATAAGAGTTGACTAGTTCAGGTCTGCTGGCAGTAAACCGGTAATAAACTGTGCCTTTTATTGTCTGTGTCCACTTCTGTTTAGTTACAAATATCTCTGATTATCTAAAGACTGCTGTTTATTCAATAGTTGACATCTATGAAATTATCTGATGGCTTGTTCAAACACAATGACTATTTCAAGATTCCCAAAGCCTTTCTACCCCAGACAACCACAGATTTAGCGCACTCTCAACATGCTTCATAGATCAAATACAATTGCTGTGTGGAAGATGAGTGTTCGCAAGGGCTCAATGTAGGATGATTTGCATACCCAGTTAGTGACTCATAAAATAAAGTTTGTGCATGCATCGTTCTATCTCCCCATGTAGGTTCCGGACTCATTTTAGAGAGCAAAGAATAGACCCACTGCTCCACTGCCCCACTGCTCCACTGCTCCAATGCTCCACTGCCCCACTGCTCCACTGCCCCACTAACATACATGTCATAGAAGGTGACTAATCAGAGGTATTTCCTTTAAAGTCGGAGTGCATATTCTAGAGAGGCAAGGAACCAACAGTCTGCATACAAATATCCAGATCTCAGATCTGTAAAACGGATGTGCATGCAACACTCAAGTAAATTTAAAAGAACAAAATCCAGAACTGGACGAACAACCAGAATCTTCCACATGAGTTTACATGAGATCGCAGGCAACCTCAGCTTTTATCCACTCAATACTAGGTGCTACTTCTAACCCATTAGCAACTAAATAACTATCATAACATGAAGGGACAGGTCAGAGTTCACGTCTGCTTCTTCTCACCTGTAACCTGCAATTTGTATTCTGCAGCTCATCAGCTTTCTTCTCCAAGTTGCTGATCCAGTGTTTCCTCTTCTGACGACACCGAGCAGCTGCAGCTCTGAAAGAAGCAAAAGTGGGAGCTGTGTTAGTGTCATGTCATCCTAATGTCAGGTCCAGAGTCTCGGGAAGGGAAGGGTTAGGGGATACATGCAAGTGTGTGTGGGTGGGTGCGTGCATGTGTATAGACCCACTGCTCTTTAACACGCCTGGCGTAAAAGGTAATTAAATAAAGATTTGCTGAAATAAGATGCCTTGGGTTCTTCAAGAACCTACTTTACTGCCGTGAAAGCATATGGCTTGTGTGTAGGCTTGCGATAGAAATGTCTATCCCTAAACACAGCTAGACTAACACTGTCTTTATTATAATTTACAACAAACAATGCAGCAGTTCACCTGGGTAAAAGTGGTTCGCGTTACCTAACCGTTTGTACGCCTTTCCTTCTGGCCTTACGGTTAGCAATCAAGGTCCGAACTAATAGTCTCCCTTACAAGTTCTCTCCGAAGCTTCTGTACCTTACACTAAGACTGCTGCGCTACCACACGGCTGGTGTAAGTGGTCAGACCTCATCACATAACCAAACAAAACCCTTCATAAACCCACTTTTCTAAAGCAATATTTGACACACAAATGGAGTGTTACGTCAGTTAACACAACAGCTAAACACCAGCTAACACTAGAACTATCCTATGACCCAACTAAGGGCACTATTACACAAATACCTATCGCTAATCTAAGTCCAACACAGTAAATATCTAGCAGTCAGATATAATACATGTCCGGCCCAAAGTCTAACATCACTCTCTCGGATAAAAAAACCTTGTTCCAGGTTGTTTTGTCAGCTCCTAACGCTCAGCCTTGGTCCGTCAAAACCTTGTGAACCCGTGAGTGATTACATCACCTGGTCACAGCATTCTGTTGTGTGTCACTAAACACCCGGTAAGGTCACAGGTCATTTATTACCACTACAGAAATCAAAATGAGATATAAACGGACTGATCAAACGGTATCTGACCATGGCAAGCTGAAGTTATTCATTTAACAAGATTTAACTCACACACATATCACACAGACACAAAGATAACACAATTATATAGGTATATGTATACAAATTTTGTTTTCTGTACCTGTTTCTCTCTAAAAATTTGCGACGTCTTTCTTCTGGGTCTCCAGTTTCTGGACTCATTTTCTGCCGTTTACTAGACACAGACAACATTGCAAAGTTAAACTAAGTTTGCTGAAAAAAGAACATACAAATATATGCTTCAGATAAACCTAGGATAACCCTCAAGAAAGTCTCTCCATCTCTAACCAATTCTCCTGTTTTCTAAAATACTTTGTCCTTTTCCTTCTTAGTGGTCACCAGCTGTAAACTCTAGTGGAAAGTTCAGGGTGTTCGTCCATTTCTCAACTGTGGTCTTGTTTTAGAACATCAATTTAGCATGCACATCCACTTTACAGATCTGGCTTATTTGTAAGCAGACTGTTGGTTCCTCATCTCTCAGCCAGATACACTCAGACTCTAAAGGGAACATAAACAAATTAGTTGCCTGTTACAAGATGCCTGTCGGGGAAAGAAGTGGTTCTATACTTTCTCCCCCATAAATGGGGTCTCAGAACCCACACAGAGACTGTTATCTTCAAAGGGCCACCAATATCATTTGTTCACGTTCTTCCTTCTCAAACCTTGCTTCTTTAGCAGGAACCATGTTCTTTTCAAGCCACTAAAGTTATATGAATACATATATAAATATATATATATATATATATAACTTGTGTGTTGTGTGCACATCTATTCACAGATCTGGCATATTTATGGAGGGTGCGCGTGTGTGTGTGTGTGTATATATATATATATATATACACACACACACACACGCACCCCCCGCCACCCCCATAAATATGCCAGATCTGTGAATAGGTGTGCACACAACACACCGGTTATACATATATATACACACACACACGCACCCCCCATAAATATGCCAGATCTGTGAATAGGTGTGCACACAACACACAAGTTCTGGAACAAGACTAAAATACAAAAGTGGATGAACAACCAGATCTTTCCGCCGGAGTTTACAGCCAATGAATGCAAAGAAAAAGACAGAGAGACACATGGTAAAAAAATATTAAATCTTTTTTTCCACTGACTGCCCAGATCACACGTTATGTGACGAAGCAATGTTTACTTCTTTCTGCCTAAGTCACACGTTATGTGACGAAGCAATGTTTACCTCTTTCTGCCTAAGTCACATCCTTTGCGATGGTAGCTTTGGATGCTCGCCGGCATGTTAAAATTGTGATTTTTGCAATGAATTTGGGTGAAGCCCATAGCTCGTACATTTCTCTATTTTAATTGGGGGAAACAACTTCATAGCGCTTATATTAAATATTTGAAGAATTTTTCTGTTGCTGCGCTATTTTGTTGATTCTAATTCTAGTGACAATATTCTTTCAGAGCCTGCAGATTTTGAAGATCGATGAAGGAACTGAACTGTACTATGAACTACTGACTGGTGCCACTTTGTATTGAAGGATGCTATGAACTGTACTACATTACTGACAGGTGCCACTTTGTATTGAAGGATACTATGAACTGTACTAAACTACTGACAGGTGCCACTTTGTATTGAAGGATGCTATGAACTGTACTACATTACTGACAGGTGCCACTTTGTATTGAAGGATGCTATGAACTGTACTACACTACTGACAGGTGCCACTTTGTATTGAAGGATACTATGAACTGTACTACATTACTGACAGGTGCCACTTTGTATTGAAGGATACTATGAACTGTACTAAACTACTGACTGGTGCCACTTTGTATTGAAGGATGCTATGAACTGTACTACATTACTGACAGGTGCCACTTTGTATTGAAGGATACTATGGTGCTAAACTACTGACAGGTTGCCACTTTGTATTGAAGGAACTGTACTACATTACTGACAGGTGCCACTTTGTATTGAAGGATGCTATGAACTGTACTGACATGACAGGTGCCACTTTGTATTGAAGGATACTATGAACTGTACTACACTACTGACAGGTGCCACTTTGTATTGAAGGATGCTATGAACTGTACTACACTACTGACTGGTGCCACTTTGTATTGCAGGATGCTATGAACTGTACTACATTACTGACACATCTTGGCTGTAAAATGTGATAAAGGAGAGTGGTAGATATTTCTTTCTTTCTTTCTTTTTTAACTGCACTGATATTGAATTGCACACCATTTTGTATTTGATAAAACAATACAATTTCATGTTTTCTATGTCATGAAATGTAGCCTGTATTGTTGTCAGATAAAAGACTTTTCGGATGGATTTTTTCCCCCACTAAAACTACAGCACATGTTGATGATGTCAAACAAAACATACCCATATTTGTTTCTTGCAATGTATTCGCCATTTAATTTGGTGGAAAAAAAATGTGATAATTGAATGGTTAATGGGAAGTTATGGCATTTTTTGTTAGTCTATAAGTTGTCAGATAAAAGATTTTCCAGTTGCCTTTTTGCACAAATCTACAGGCATATGATGATGTCAAACAAAATAAACCCTTTTTTTTTCTTGCAATATGGTCTGCATTTAATTTGGTTTAAAAAAAATGTGATAAGTTAAACGGTTGGGAAGTTACAGCAATTTTGCTAGTCTATTTTGTTGTCAGACAAAAGATTTTTGCATTGCCTTTTTTCACCATACCTACATCAAATGATGACGATGTCGAACACAATTAACCTATTTTTGTTTCTTGCAATGTATTCTCATTTTAATCTGGTGCGAAAATACAAAATGTGATAAGTGTATGTTAAATAGTTATGAAGCTGTGGCATTTTCAGTACACACTAAAAATGTGTGGTATCTGGGAAAGTGCAAGGGTTTAAGGGCTTGGTAGGCAGTGGGTTAAGCTGGCCACAGATAGTGCTGCCAGAAAAAGCCTAACCAGTAGGTGACTCACCTGTCCACAGAATAATCGGAGGAGTCTGAGAGATTCATTTCCGAGCCAGGCGAGTCCACCATCATGATGGGGGAGGTACTGCCAACAAGCACCTGGCCACTCATGTTGCCAGGTAAGGCAGTGCTTGTGGAAATACTCAAGGGGTTAGATGTAGCTATCGAGACTTCGGCTGCTTTAGCCGTCGGGCTTAGCTGGTTCTGTAGCTGGGCTTTTAATCTCTGTCAACATTCAAGAGCAGCATTCATAACACTAGGAAATTTGTGGAGATCAACATCAATTAAAATTAATAATAACCTTAAAAGTTTTAATTCTAATGTCAAATCAGTCCTGTTGTATGGAGCGGAAACATGGAGAACAACTAAGGCAATTACTAATAAATTACAAACATTTATTAACTGGGTGACTGTGCAGAATAAAGAGATTTAAATGGTATGATACAATCACTAATACTGAGCTTTGGTAGAGAACTAAACAAGTTCCAGGGGACCAGGAGGTGAAGAAAACACGCTGGCATTGGGTAGGACACATGTTGAGAAAACTTAAGAAAAATCTAGCTAGAATGCCTTTGCACTGGAACACACAGAAGCATCGGAATAAAGGCAGACCAAAAAACACATAGAGAAGGAAGCTGCAGAGTGATTTTAAAAAGATGGAGAGGTTATGGAAGAGGTGCCTGGAATAGCGCAGGATAGAGCGACTTGGCATGACTTGCCTGAGGGCCTATGCTCCATGGAGGGTTAGAAGGCAGAAGAGAGAAGAGAAGAGCTCAAGATCAATAATAATGATAAGTCAATCATTCAGAACACCTGCATGCTTATCTACTAAAGATTCTACCTTGCTGTGCTTGTCTCACCATGCCAGTTAAACTATCAATCCACATCCAACTTACTAACAACCAGTTTATCCATAATTCTATACATCAATCTGCATCTAACCAACCAATCAACAATATAGTCATTTATCCATATTCAATCACATCCAATCGTTTTTATCCACTCACCTATCCAAACATCCAGTTATCCACTTATTCAACCACACACACAAAAACACCCATCTATCCACACACACACATGTATCATAAATCCATCCATATTTATCCACACACCCTTCCATATGTCCAGCTATCCACTCAACCACACCACATTAAAAAAACATTCATCCATCCATCAATCCTACTATCTATATGTATAGCTTTCCACTCACCCACACCACAAACAAACAGACAACAAATATCCATCAATCTGTCTGTTCAGTAAGCATCAATCTATTTCATCTTCTTCTTCTTTTTCTTAAAAGTCCATGCTGTGTGGCGTTAGTAGTCATGTCTATCCGCAACCTTCTGTCTTGTGTACTTTCAATCAACTCTGACACAAATGATCTTCCATGCCACGATGTCAAACTGTCCAGCATCTGTTCTCTCGGTCTCCCCCTGCCTCTCCTCCCCTCCAACTTTCCTACCATCACGATGTACTCTAATTTTCTTCTTCTCATCACATGACTAAAGAATGAAGATTGTCTCTTTCTGATGTGAGCAATCAGTTCTCTTCATGTGTCAGTTTCTTTCAAGACATCTTCATTACTCTTTTTATGTGTCCAGGGTATTTTCATAATTCTTCTTTAAAAACACAACTAGACAGCTTCCAAATAAGTGTTCACTAATTTACTAACTGTCCATGATTCACATTCGTATATCAATATAGGATTTCTATAGCTTTTAGGAATTCTCTTTCTCGCCTCAACTGACAAAGAAAGATTGCATGAAACATTCTTCATTTTGTAAAATGCTGCCTTTGCTTGAGCTATTCCACATTCAACTTACTTAATACATCTTCCATCTGATGTTATCAGGGTACCCAAGTATTTAAACATATCTACTGGCTTGAGGTTTATCCCATTTACTTTAATGTTGCATTTTGGGAGTCAGTTTTCTTTGTAATTAGATTACTTCTGTTTTTCTGCTGTTCAAACTAAGACCATTGTTTTCACTTTCCGTTACAATTGTATCTGTCATTTCTTGCCGCTGTGTTTCATTTTCAGAGATCAACTCTACGTCGACAGCATACCGCAGGCTGTTAACAATATTCCCACTAACCGCTATTCCTGCCATACCATGCATGGAACTAATTATTATTTCACTGTACAAATTGAATAAATCGGGTGACAGTACACATCCCTGTCTAACGCCTTGTTTAATGTTTTTAAAACTTCCAGCTTGGTTGTCAATCCTTATGGCTGTGTCTTGTTGCCAGTATATGTTGTTTATTATTCTCAGATCTTTACCATCAATGTTTAAAGTTTCCAAAGTTTATCTTATAATACTGTATATTTCCCTCAGGCTTACCATCAATAATAAATATTATTTAGTCATGCAGTAACAAATTGTTTTCTGTCTGTGTTGTGTGTGTGAGAGAGAGGGGAGAGAAAAAGAAAGAGACACATAAAAAGACAGAAAGAGAAAGAGAGACAGAAAGAGAGAGAGAGAGAGAGAGAGAGAGAGAGAGAGAGAGAGAGAGAGAGAGAGAGAGAGAGAGAGAGAGAGAGAGAGAGAGAGAGAGAGAAGAATGGACACTCAGATAAGTGTGTCCATTTCTTCATCTATTAATAATAAAGATCCCTTGCAAAATTGTTTGTTTGCTCACTGGGTAGTCTGTCTTTCTGTCTGCCTGTCTGTTTACTGACTTATCTATAATTCACTGTGTCATCCAAACATCAGTGATAACAAGACCTTCAAAAAAATGTATTTTTCTTACAGTCTATGTCATGTGAAACTGGTAGTTATGTCTATCCACCTACCGTCTCATGGATCCTCAATAATTTTTCACACAGATGATGTTCCAGGCCACAATTTCAAACTTTCCAGCATCTTCTCTCTCCTTCTCCCTCTTGCCATTTTCCCTTCTAACTTTTGCAGGATCCCGATGCATTCCTCCCAGGTCGACCCAGCCTTGAGTTGGTACCGGGTGCAGTCCCGGGAAAGTCAAGGCGGCCGGCGTGATACTGACCACATCACCCATCTTGTGCCGATTGGTCTATAAAAATATAGGTCTAACCCACATGCCCTATACGCCTTAAGGCGTGGAAAAGGGTCCTTTACCTTTACTTTACTTGTTTATGATGCATTCTGTCAAGAGGTGGGTCCCAAAAAAAAACCAAAACTATCTGCCGGAGTTTACAGCCGGTGAACACAAAGAAGAAGAAAGCAACACACATGAAGGGAACTTACTTGCTTGAGAGCCATTGTCGTTGAAAGATTGGACGTGGATCCGAGTTTTGTGGGTGCTGCCTGGAGAGGTGGGGGTTGCTGCTGTTGGGGGCCTGCTTGCTGGAGGGGCAGCTGGGGGGGCTGCTGGACACTGCCCAGGTACTGGAACTTGTTGATTGTCGCTGGTATGCTGATGGGAACTGGAGATACAGATCATGTGGGTATGTTTACTGCTTTGTATGAACAAGCAAGGGATTGAGATAAAGTGTATGGTTAAATACAACATAAATGTGACTAGAATGCTTGACGAAGGGAATGGAAACGATGTGCACAAATATAATCAAATGTTTCGAGCAAAGTCTCTATCAACAAAATACTAAATAATACAAACTGTGATTGGAAAACTCAACGGACAAGACAACAGAGCGTATAAAAACACCAAGGTCAGCATGAAACCAAGAAATATGTAATAGAGAAAAATATGTATTTAAGGGCTATATTAAATAAGTAATTAAGCATATAAAAAAAGAAGAGTTGCAGAAATATGAACAAGTTAAATTAATTAATTAAATTTAATTAAGCTGTGTTGAATATTGATCCCTCCAAGACTGAGAAGCCCAAAACTGAATGAAACAATTCTGCAAGCAGTAGCCACTGGTTTGATCATCTGAGCAAAATTTAAAAGCCGTAACTAAGATACTGCTTTCACCTTGGTGTTCAGAACTGTCAAAATGGAGAGAGACGATGGCGTAGTGGCGGGAGGGAGGGTCTTGCCATTTATTCAAGTGAGGTGCCATCTAAAAAATGAGAACAAGCACTGTGTTAGAGCAAGCAACAGTCCCGTCCTGTGAGAACAGCCCACCATCGCACCTAGATATTATTCCAACAACAGAAGATTGGAGATACATCCCAGGGTGTGGTGTAACTACCATTCTGATAAGGTGATAAGTTGGGGGGGGGGGGGGGGGGGGGGGGAGAAACAGAGGTGGAAAAGGAGGAAGGAGGAAGGAAGAGGAGGAGTGGGAGGAGGAGCAGAAGGAGAAGAAGAACAACAACAACAACATCAACAGAAACAAGAAAAATTTAAAAACAGTTGTTAGATGAATAGAAATGGAAGAAAATAGGGCAGAAGATGCAAGAGGATGAGAAAAATAAGACAATAGAAGACAAAAAAAAATAGAAGGCAACAGTGTAAAGAAAACAGCAGTAGCAAGATGGGGTTGGCAAACAGTGCTGTTATTTAAGTTTTTTGTTTCTGATGTGATTAATGCATATAATTCAGTATTCCTTTTATCCTTTCGCCCGAAGAAGCTGAAAAGTCTGACAATTACAGTTGCGTCCAATTCTCTGTAAATGTCACTTTTATGAGATGCACAGTTAATGCTATTGGTTGATTTTGTGCCTGTGCAAATGTTTAGGAGGTCAGGATATGAACACGATAAATAACAATTGCATTTAGGGAGGTTTTTCCTTTGAGCGAAATGGCTTTTTCAAAGCCAGGTTGACATCAGATTTGCCCATAAGCCTCAGTGATAAGGGTCAGGGGGTAATGGCAAGAGCCATCAGATACATGTGGGTTTTTTAAGGTTTCAAGGGATTTATTCCATTTAATGCTTTGCCCTATTCATGTTCACTGATTACTCCTTTCATACATCTTTATATATTGTGAAAAAAATAATTTGAAAACGTTAATACAGTTTTAACAAATTAATTAACGACCTGTGTAAATGTTGTTTCTATGGATTTTTTCTGGAATTCTAATGGGGTCATGACTGTATATGTGTGTGTGTGAGCCCACGGACAAGTTTTCTTGGAGCAAAGGAGTTTAAAAGGCTGAAATGGTTAAGCCACCAAGTGAGAATGAATTTATATAGTGAAAGCTCCAAAAATTAGAAACAGGAGATATATCAAGAGAAAAGTCAGCAGATGAAGAATAAATGGTTACCTGTATCTCCATTTGGTAGCTGAAGCAAGACTTGCATGGTACACTGTTGCTGCTGGTCAGAAAATGTGCCGCCAGAATCCAGAAAGTTCGGCATCTCCTCACGCTTGACCTCCTGCAACTGGACTGGCTGGACCCGGCTTTCCACTGTGGAGGAGCTGCTTGCCAGATGGTGGGAGTAGCTGGCCAGGTTGGGAGTGGAATGTTGTGACAAATCCATGTGGCCGGGGATGTGGGATGAGCTGATGTGGTCAAGTATTGATACAAGGTTAGAAGTGTTAGGAAATCTCTGAAGTAATCAATGCAGTAAAGAACCCTCTTCCATGCCTTGGGCATACAGGGCTAGACCTATATTTTATAGACCAATCGGCACTTGGTGGGTGATGTGTTCAGCATCACATCGGCCACCTTTACTCCCCAGGATGGTTCCTGGTACCTGCTAAAGGCTGGGTCAACCTGGGAACCAAGGTAAATTTTTTTTTTAAGGCCAGTCTCATCAGGACATGAACCAATGACCTTCCTATCCAATCAATGTAGTGGCATTATTAACCTTTTTTCCCCTGTCAAAATCCCAATCTTGTGACTCCTGGAACAGAGTACTGCTTACCTGTGATCTTGTCAACATACTGACTCACTGCACCACTTCCTCAAGCTGCTGCACAGCCACTTATACCATATCTGACATTACAATAGCATGGTGTCATCAATCCCCTTTCATATCATCTGGGCAAAGATTCGACTTCACAGCATGCTGATCAAATCATGTTAGCTGCATCTACTTCCTCAACAGCCAGCAAAGAGTTTCTATTTCAATGGGATCTGTTATCATCCAGTTAATTACTCATCATGCCCACCCCCCACCAAATCTTGAGTATCCTATAAAACTATGACCTTATCAACACAGCAAACCTGTGTAATCTTCCACCGGTCCATACACTAACCCAATGTTCCAGTAACTTTATGTCCTATAAACACATGACTTTATCAACCAAGCAACTTTCTGTCCTATAAACACATGACTCTATTACCCCAGCATACTTTCTGTCCTATAAACACATGACTCTATCAACCATGCAACTTTCTGTCCTATAAACACATGACTCTTTTACCCCAGCATACTTTCTGCCCTATAAACACATGAGTCTATCAACCAAGCAACTTTCTGCCCTATAAACACATGACTCTATCAACCAAGCAACTTTCTGCCCTATAAACACATGACTCTATCAACCAAGCAACTTTCTGCCCTATAAACACATGACTCTATCAACCACGCAACTTTCTGCCCTATAAACACATGACTCTATCAACCAAGCAACTTTCTGCCCTATAAACACATGACTCTTTTACCCCAGCATATTTTCTGCCCTATAAACACATGACTCTATTACCCCAGCATACTTTCTGCCCTATAAACACATGACTCTATCAACCACGCAACTTTCTGCCCTATAAACACATGACTCTATCAACCAAGCAACTTTCTGCCCTATAAACACATGACTCTTTTACCCCAGCATACTTTCTGCCCTATAAACACATGACTCTATTACCCCAGCATACTTTCTGCCCTATAAACACATGACTCTTTTACCCCAGCATACTTTCTGCCCTATAAACACATGACTCTTTTACCCCAGCATACTTTCTGCCCTATAAACACATGACTCTATTACCCTAGCATACTTTCTGCCCTATAAAAACATGACTCTTTTACCCCAGCATACTTTCTGCCCTATAAACACGTGACTCTTTTACCCCAGCATACTTTCTGCCCTATAAACACATGACTCTATCAACCATGCAACTTTCTGCCCTATAAACACATGACTATCAACAAAGCAACTTTCTGCCCTATAAACACATGACTCTTTTACCCCAGCATACTTTCTGCCCTATAAACACATGACTCTTTTACCCCAGCAAACTTTCTGCCCTATAAACACATGACTCTATCAACCACGCAACTTTCTGCCCTATAAACACATGACTCTATCAACCAAGCAACTTTCTGCCCTATAAACACATGACTCTATCAACCAAGCAACTTTCTGCCCTATCAAAAAATTACTCTATCAACCAAGCAACTTTCTGCCCTATAAGAAAATGACTCTATCAACCAAGCAACTTTCTGCCCTATAAGAAAATGACTCTATCAACCAAGTAACTTTCTGTCCTATAAACACATGACTCTATCAACCAAGAAACTTTCTGCCCTATAAAAAAAATGACTCTATCAACCAAGTAACTTTCTGCCCTATAAACTCATGACCCAATTAACCCAGCAACAGACTGTCCCAGCAACACATGACCCCATCAACCCAGCAAACTATGAATATATTAACCCACCAACCCGCTATCCCAGCAACATATGATCCTATTAACCCAGCAACTTTCTGTCATGCAAATACACAAGCCTCTTTTAACCCTACAACCTGCTGCCCTTTGTTCTGTCAATTCAGCATACCCTGTCCCATTAACATATGGTCCTATCACCTCAGTTTCGTCAACTTCTGAACCATGGCCAAATCAACCCAATATTTGATAAGCCGACACATCAACTCATGATTTTAGGAGTCTCCGTAATGAAATTTTCAAGCAGTTTGCCTTGCACTCCGAAGGTTGTAGGTTTGTTTCACAGCGGCGGCATTTGGTTCATGGGAGCAATTTTTATTGAGCCCCCTACTGATCATCACCAGCACTACAGAGTTCATGCTTTGTGTGATGTTCTTGACGGGCAGCAAGCTGTAGACTTTCTGTGGACAAAGATGCAGCCCTATGGAATCAAAGCCAGCGCAATGAAGTCGATCCTCTCCCCTTTAACCCTAACCCAACAATCAACCATCACATCAACCCATAACCCTACATGGCTATATCCTTGCACCAACCCGCCACTCTTTTAATACATGCACCAACCCGCCACTCTTTCAATACATGCACCAACCCGCCACTCTTTCAATACATGCACCAACCCGCCACTCTTTCAATACATGCACCAACCCGCCACTCTTTCAATACATGCACCAACCCGCCACTCTTTCAACACATGATCCCATCAACCTACTGTCCCAGAATGCCAAATGATCCTTTCAACCCAACAACTCATTCACCCACTTGATGAGAAGAATTGTGAAAAAGAAATCATTCACTTTACTTCAGAACCCCAGAAGCATGTGAAGAGCTGGTTTCTTCACCCAAACCTGGACCCAACACCGGGCTGTTGGCCTCCGAAAGCATAGAGCTCTGAAAATGAGAAAAGAATCTGCACATGCACATGTAGCAACAGATATTTTTGTTCTGGCTAAGAATCACTTTCAATGTATGCTGATACCCTAATAAAAGTAAGTAAAGGGCCCTTTTCCATGCCTGCAGGAGTACTGGGTATTGAGGGCTAGACCCATATTTATAGAGGAATCAGGGGGTGATGTGGTCAACCAGACACCTTTACTTCCCAGGAATTTACCTGCTACCTCTGTGAGGATGAGTCGACCTGGGAGCCAAGTTCATTGTTTTGTTTTTGTTTTTTTCAAGTCTGCTGAATCAGGACCTGAATCCACAACCTTTCAATCCACAGGTGAGCATCTAGCCACCACACCATGTTTTCCCTTCAGGACTGCAGGATTACAACCTGAAGGATGAAAATCACACAGTTGTGTCAGGGCTCCACGTGATCAACCTGTGAAGTAACCTGCGATCCAGTGGGGATGTATTATTCATATGCATATTTCCCAGAGATTTTCCATAAAAAATGTGAGGAGAATCACAAACTTATCAGCCCATCAAAGCGGTTTGGTTAAAAAGTTAGTTGTATATCCTGTACCGGACATTGCAGAACCAACCCAGCATTGTTTGGTTGTTCAATTTTACAAGGCAAGTTCAAGTTCAGTAGTTTTCCAACGCTTTGTGAAGGGTCAACTCTGAATGCCACTGTCGAACCCAACGCAAGGCTCCAAATCACCCGCAGCTGGAATCTAACATGGTATCTCATCATAACGAAGCATGTTCGCAGTATCTAAGCCATAAACACTGACACCACCACAGACATATAAACAGTTATATAATGATGCTATAAATAGGGATAACGTCAGCGGATGACTGGCATAATTGGTAAAATCCCTGAGAGCATGGGTTTCACAGAGATATGGTGAAAAAACAAGAGTGAGTGAGTCACGTGTGAATGCAAGATCTGGGGGATTGAGAATGAGGTGATCATTCTGTGACTGGGCCCCAGACTGGAAGGATGTGAAGCTGAATCTGTGAAGGTGAATCCAGAATGAAGAGTGCACGTGGATCTGAATCAGAGTCGAATGAATGTTAGCGCTGAACGACAAGACAGGCAGCGCTATTGAATGATCATTTAGGCCAGCCGTTGTGTTACACGGTTTGATTGTTGAGCCAGCCGTGTACATGCCAGTGTCCATCGTCAGAAGCATGTCTGGAGCCTTAATGCGTGAGCAAGGCAAGATTGTCCGAATGGCGTAATTTGGTTCATCTGTTGATTCGTGTCTTGTGCTACATTGACAATAAACCTGTGAAATGTGTCAGCTGGTGTCGACCGTCATTTGAAGTTGTGTGGCCGTGGAGAGAAATGCCGTCTGGTTAGAATGAGCTGTGACCTAACACCTAGACAACAGAGTCAGTGTTGAATCTGCACTAGAGAGATCAAGTGTGGAGGAGACACAGTACATTCATTACAAGTTAGTTAGAATATCTCAAGCTAACAGTTGTAGAAGAATAACAGCTATATTTATAACTAAGAAGTCCATGTGTGGGGTCCGGGGTTCCATTGTGGGGGAAATAAGAACAGACCCACTCCCTCCCCAACAAACATGTCGTAAGAGTCGACTAATTGGGTGTTACCTTCAAAGTCGGAGTGCATCTGCCTGGGAGGCAAGGAACCAACAGTCTGCATACAAATAAGTAAGATCGGTAAAACGGATGCAAACGTAAAACTCAGGTCCTGGAACAAAGCCAAGGGGCAGAAATGGATGAACAGCCAGGTCTTTCCATCAGGATTCACAACCAGCAGACAAACAAAATAACTACCATAAAAAAGAGCAGCACAAATCTTATCTAAGTATAAACAACAACTTCTTCAGCGTACAGCCCTTAAAAAGGCAGTTGGCAAAGTGTGTTGTGGTTTACAGCTACGCTGTGATATATGAACCTTTTCCCTATCCTACATAAATCTAACTACAGTACTCTTCAAACTCAACCACAGTACTCTAAAAATACTCAAATACAGTAATCTACACAAACTCAACCACAGTTCTCTACAAATACTCAAATAAAGTAATCTACACAAACTCAACCACAGTACTATACAAATACCCAAATACAGTAATCTACACAAACTCAACCACAGTACTCCACAAATACTCAAATACAGTAATCTACACAAACTCAACCACAGTACTCCGCAAATACTCAAAAACAGTACTCTAAAAAACTCAAAGTAATCTACACAAACTCAACCACAGTACTCAATAAAACTCAAATAAAGTAATCTACACAAACTCAACCACAGTACTCAACAAAACTCAAATACTGTAATCTACACAAACTTAACCACAGTACTCTACAAAACTCAAATAATCTACACAAACTCAACCACAGTACTCTACAAATACTCAAATACAGTAATCTATAAAAACTCAACCACAGTATCCTAGAAAAATAAATAATAGTACACAAACTCAACCACAGTATCCTAGACAAATCGATTATAGTACGCAAACTCAACCACAGTCTCCTACACGAATTGACGATAGTACACAAACTCAAATGTAGTAATCTACGCAACTCAATTACCTGAGAGACCATAGGCCTGCGAACTGCCTCATGTTTTACAGATGAAGACGCCGCTGACTGGGTCACCATCACACTCTTTCCGGACAGGTCCACCACAATCCTACTGGCCAATGATGTCTTGGCCAGCGGACTAGGCTTCAAGGCCTCGCCAGCCTTAGCTCTGTCAATGCCTAGCGACAAGGCAGCATTTGAGCTCTTCAGAGAGTCTGACAAGATTAACGTCGGGGTGTTTAACTCTCCTGTCTGAGGGCCAGGCAGAGGCGGCTGCATTTGTGGACAGAAAGAAAACTTGTTTACAAAGGTGGTTAGTCTTACCTTTCTACTTCACACGTAGGGTAAAAGAGTAGTGAGAAAAGAAAGAAAGAAAGAAAGAAAGAAAGCAAGCAAGCAAGAAAGCAAGAAAGAAAGAAAGAAAGAAAGAAAGAAAGAAAGAAAAGAAAGAAAGAAAGAATGAAAGAAAGAAAGAAAGAAAGAAAGAAAGAAAGAAAGAAAGAAAGAAGAAAGAAAGAAAGAAGAAAGAAAGAAAGAAAGAAAGAAAGAAAGAAAGAAAGAAAGAAAGAAAGAAAGAAAGAAAGAAAGAAAGCAAGAATGAAAGTAAGAAAGAAAGAAAGAAAGAAAGAAAGAAAGAAAGAAAGAAAGAAAGAAAGAAAGAAAGAAAGAAAGAAAGAAAGAAAGAAAGAAAGAAAGAAAGAAAGAAAGAAAGAAAGAAAGAAAGAAAGAAAGAAAGAAAGAAAGAAAGAAAGAAAGAAAGAAAGAAAGAAAGAAAGAAAGAAAGAAAGAAAGAAAGACAGAAAGAAAGAAAGACAGAATGAAAGAAAGACAGAAAGATGGTTAGTAAAGTAAAAGTAAAGGACCTTTTCCACACCTCCAGGAGTACTGGACATATAGGTCTAGACCTATAATTTAGGGACCAATGAGCACCCGGTGAGTGATATGGTCAAAATTATGCCAGCTGCCTTTACTTCCCAGGACTTTACCTGGAAAGATGGGTAGAAAATTATTAAAGGCTAACATTTATATTTTCTCTTATGTTATTTCTCAAATTCCAGCTTATATTCAGCCCTTCCAAACACTTATCTTTCACACAGCAATTGTACTTTGTCAGTAAGGCTTTTAACAATATGCGTAATATGAATATCAAGGAAAAAACACAAAAGTATGGATGGTGAATGCATGCGCATATGCACTCACACATGTATTCACTCACTCACCATGCATTTCCTCACTCACTCCTCATTTACACCAAAAAGCATGCATGCACTCATGTGCATGTGCACCCCCCCCCCCCCCCCCCCCCCCCCCCTTAATCAATCCATACATACATATATACATACTAACCATTAGCCTTGCAGGCCAGAATCTTCTATGCAACAAAGTAAAATTACCTGCCACTTGAAGTGACATGCCAAACACTAGGAATAAACGGCTTTTCAAAATTACATACATCATTATCTAGTGCCTTTTTGTATGCATGGTCAAAGGGGTTCTGGGTGAGTTCTTGGAACAAACTGATCTCATCGCAGTTCTTCAAAAATTTGGTTGGAGTTGGCGTCTGATCTGAGGACATTTGTAACAGCCTCTTAACGCAACAGAAGTGATGAAGAAAATTAACAGATACTGGGCAGAAAACATGAACAAACAGATAATGGGACAAAAATTTAAAGCAAAAAAAAAAAATTAATGGAGGATATGAACAAATGGATAAGGGATAAAGAATTTTCAACAATTGGCACCCAAACAAACAAATAACAATTATGAGATATGACTAAGCAGATACTGAAAAGAAGGTCAAGAACAGACAATACAAACAAGCAGGTCATGAACAGAGGATACAAACAAGTCATGAACAGAAGGTACAAACAAACAGGTTATTAGCAGAAGATACATACAAACAGGTTATGAACAGAAGATACAAACAAACAGGTCCAAAACAGAAGGTACAAACAAACAGGTCAAGAACAGAAGAGAAACATGTAATGAACAAAAGTAATCAGGTAATGATAGTTCCAACTTCCTAGCAACTGGGAAACCCCAACAGTTGCTCCATTCCTGTGCCAACAAAACCCAAACAGAATGTCCCTTATGGAAACATCAAAAGTCTGCAGTCTCAGCACATCCAGTAGCATACACACACACATACTAAATGCACAAGGCAGCCATTAGAAGTACCAACACAAACAGTCCGACACTATAAATGCCATTCATCACCAAAGGTAGCAGCAGATACAATAGATCAGTAGTTGCACATGTGATTAATCGGATAAGGCACTATCAGTTTTGTGGCAACAGGCCGCTCGCCATCTTCTGAATCTACAGTTCACAACATACACCATCACAGTGTCGCGCCATGCACTCAACTCAGTAGCTGGGTGGCAAAATTATCCTTTCTGTCTAGATATGGAGATCTGGTCGATGATCAACACTTAAAAGAAAAAAGAGATAAATATACAACCAGACTGTTACAGGTACCATCGGAATTGGAACTCTTGCTGTTGAAGATGGGGACAGAGCACTTATGTGAATATCCTGAGTGCTGTGATGTTGATTCTTAATTAAGCATTAAATATATGGAGGAAAATGCAACAGCCAGCTATCATCAGAGGCAAAAACTTGCCACAACTAAAAACAGTAAACCTGCCTATCTTTAATACTGACTGGAAGTCAGAACAAAAGGAGATAACAAAGGCATATTAACAAAAGATAGGAACAAATACTTCATAAGCAGATGATAAACATAATAAATAATGAGCTGAAGATATGAACAAACAGATAAGGAATAGATGATACTATGAACAAACTGATAATAAACAGATGTTATGATGATGAAACTATTAAAAATAGAGGAAACAAACAAGTGAATAACAAACAAAAATCATCATAAATAAGTACTTAACTGCCTTTCAAATGTCTGGATCCCATACAATATAATCCACTATAAGCGGTTTGTATAAAGAAATGCTTTAATGTCCTGTTCCTATTCTACACAAACTAGCTCAGTACACCTAAACCAATCACTACAACCAAATGTTTTATATTCCTGCTTACAACAGTTTCTCTGCCAAGGCCCTCCCTAGCCCATGTGAGAAATAACTGAACATGAGACCAGCTCTCTCATTCTGTGTAACAATTATCCCACGTGAGAAAGGAGGACTGAACATGAAACTAGCTCTCTCATCCTGTGTAACAATTATCCCACGTAAGAAAGGAGGACTGAACATGAGACCAGCTCTCTCATTCTGTGTAACAATTATCCCATGTGAGAAAGGAGGACTGAACATGAGACTAGCTCTCTCATCCTGTGTAACAATTATCCCACGTAAGAAAGGAGGACTGAACATGAGACCAGCTCTCTCATTCTGTGTAACAATTATCCCACGTGAGAAAGGAGGACTGAACATGAGACTAGCTCTCTCATCCTGTGTAACAATTATCCCACGTAAGAAAGGAGGACTGAACATGAGACTAGCTCTCTCATCCTGTGTAACAATTATCCCATGTAAGAAAGGAGGACTGGACATGAGGCAAGCTCTCTCATCCTGTGTAACAATTATCTCATGTAAGAAAGGAGGACTGGACATGAGACCAGCTCTCTCATCCTGTGTAACAATTATCTCACGTGAGAAAGAAGGACTGGACATGACACTAGCTCTCTCATCCTGTGTAACAATTATCTCACTAAAGAAACTGATGTAGACAACAACAACAAAAACAGACAATGAAATGGGAAATAAACGGACTGTGGAAGCGATGAGGTGCAAGGAAGAGCCTTTTATAAACATTAATGAAGGAGGCTAAAGGTGCCATACTACAGTTCATACATAGTCTCTGTATGGGTTATGGGCTCCATTTTGAGGGAAAATAGTGCGTTTTACATGATTCTAAGCCACAAACAACAACAACACTAGAACTTCTTCTCAACCTTGGACACTATTATTATTTGTAAACTCAATGTTACCAATAATACCACAGCTGTAACTCTTAGTGTTTTCTGTTTCACATCTGTCATCGTCCAACACTGATTGTATTTCTGTTTCACATCTGTCATTGTCCAACACTGATTGTATTCTGTATCACATCTGTCATCGTCCAACACTGATTGTATTTCTGTTTCACATCTGTCATCGTCCAACACTGATTGTATTCTGTTTCACATCTGTCATCGTCCAACACTGATTGTATTCTGTTTCACATCTGTCATCGTCCAACACTGATTGTATTTCTCTTTCACATCTGTCCACATCTACAAAACTAACATTCTTACCAAGGAAATGATGAGCCGGAGAGTTGCTTGACTGTCCTCCAGCGTTGAGGGCCAGGGACATTTCATGCTTCTTAGAGTGGACAGTCAGATGATCTTCATTGGTGAATCGCTGGAAGACAAGAATTCACACAGTATTGTCATCACCGCAACATTTATTAAAACACACAGAATCGTGTTTGTGTAAGTACAAACTTTGTTTCATACACAGAACTGTGTTTGTGTAAGTACAAACTTTGTTTCATACACAGAACTGTGTCTGTGTAAGTACAAACTTTGTTTCATACACAGAACTGTGTTTGTGTAAGTACAAACTTTGTTTCATACACAGAACTGTGTTTGTGTGACTGCAAAATTTAGATAATACACAGATTCATGAATGTGTAAGTACAAACTTTGTTTCATACACAGAATCGTGTCTGTGTAAGTACAAACTTTGTTTCATACACAGAACTGTGTTTGTGTGACTGCAAAATTTAGATAATACACAGATTCATGAATGTGTAAGTACAAACTTTGTTTCATACACAGAACTGTGTTTGTGTAAGTACAAACTTTGTTTCATACACAGAACTGTGTTTGTGTGACTGCAAAATTTATATAATACACAGATTCATGAATGTGTGTGTACAAAATTTATATAATACACAGAACTGTGTTTGTGTGACTGCAAAATTTATATAATACACAGAAACATGAATGTGTGTGTACAAAATTTATATTATACACAGAATCATGAATGTGTGTGTACAAAATTTATATAATACACAGAATCATGAATGTATGTGTACAAAATTTATTTAATTCACAGAATCATGAATGTGTGTGTACAAAATTAATATAATACACAGAACCACAAATGTGTGACTGCGACATTTACTAGTTATTTGAGTCATCAATGGATCACTACATCATTTAACATTGTCATCAAGTGCTTTGATGACTGACATAGACAATCATGCCTCTCCATTACCTACAATCTCTAACCGCAATTACCAGCACATCAATTATAAAAGTGTCATTAAGTTTCCATAAATTTATACAACTCTACTAAATAAAGTCTATAAGGAAACACAAGAAAAACATTTATAAAAGCTATGAACAAAGAGACTTGGCTGAACAGATAGACCATGGGAGATACTGGAAGAGAGGTTTATAGACAAACGGCTGGCCCTGATCCTAACAACAGCATTAACTATTAAACAAGAAGGGACCAGGCCACCATCTTCAGACTCAGAACACAACATACTCCACTCAATGGACACCTAAACAGAATACAACCACAACACTCCCCAGAGTGCCAGCTATGTAACTACCCCTACAAAACTGTTGACCATCATCTCTTTGAGCGCCTAAAACTCAACAAGACTAGAAGAATGCTACTGCCTCTGAGACCAGACAAGTGGAACACTTTGTACAGAGGAAAAGAACAGCTTGTGAAAACATGTAAATTCCACCACATGGCACTGGGCCAAAGGGAGAAAGCCCATGCGCCGCTGGATCAATAACAACAACAACAACATACATACCATGCCGCAGTCTGCAACTTTGCAAACAAATGGCTTGTCATCATTCAAGTCCCTATGCATTTTGGTCTAGCTTCACTATGGTAACACAACACGACCGCGATGGCCTGGCCACAGGCAAGCATTTACTACATCTGGGTTATGTCTGCAAAGGAAAAAAAATGTTTAAAGAGAACTTCAGCTAATGTAGGTGAAAGATGAGATAAAGAAGGTGAAGCAGAGGCAGGAGAGTTAGAGGATGGGTGAGTTAGAGTGTAACTACTAGTGGTTGCCACTCTTTAGGGCCACATGATACACTGACAATGAATTTAATACATCTGTGATTTTGTTATCCCCCGTGCAGTGATGAATCTGTTTAGAGTACACAGAGGAATAGTGAATCAAGTACTTAAGAAAGTTAAAAGCACACAGATAAAGAATAAATCTTGGACTCCAGTCAGTCAGTCGATCGGTCGGTCAGTCAGTCAGTCTAACTCACTGACCATCGAACCATTCAGTTCATAAGTGCTCAAAATCTCACAGCATGTAGCAGCTCATGACACCGTTTCTGTATTGGTTTTTTTTATTTTTTTCTCTGGCTCCCTGCATAGTGCTCTTGTCTGGCCACACTCCTTTTAACATGTTTTTTCTTGCAGTCTGATCACTATTGCAGATTCATAGTCATCACTTGGATCTCGCAAACATCTTACTTCATGTGGAGCATTCAGTATATCAGCATAGTCCACTGCTCATTCGCCCTTCAATGTAGCTGCAGGCTAATCATCTTGTTTATTTCCTTGCACGCCTGCCTGCCCTGACACAGATATAGAACTCGAGAATTATAATATGTGCTTGGTGCCAAAGTTGGGTATAAGCTAAATAAGCTTCAGCTTAGGGCCTCATAATCTGCAAGGGCCTCCAAAAATTCATATGTTGATGCCAAAATAAATTATTTTACATTTAGGAAATCAAAGAAGAGAAAAACTCTTTTAGAGGATTATATAATATACGTTTTTTGTGCAAACATATTCTTTATTATTTTTTTTACTAAAAATAAAACAACAATATATTTCCTTTATTCATACATTTCAAAGGTGTATAGAATTTAGTTTTCTGAGATAAGTTACTGGTCTCTTTTCCACGCCTTTACGTGTATTCGGAAATTAGGGCTAGACTTGTATTTTGAAAGACCAATCGGCATTTGGTGGGTGATATGGTCAGCCCCACGCCAGCTACCTTTACTTCCCAGAACTGCACCTAGTACCCACTAAAGGTTGGATCAACCTGGGAGTCAAGGTTCTGGTAGAGACCTTATGACTTGATATAGCTGAAGTCCTAAGAGAGTGTAAATCCAGCCCTGGAGGTCTTCATTAACCTCTACATCAAAGTTCTAAAGGTGCATTATGATATTCATAAGTAGGAGACTAAGCAGCACTCACGGTCTATGAAAGAAGACAAGATAATAGAGTGGTTTTTCTTTCTTCTGGGAAAAGAGGCAAAAGAAGTGTTTGGCCTAGCATATGATACCACAACATCCAGCTTAAGAATTGAGGTGGAGACGGTCACTGCAGCTTTTTCCTGGCTAGAGAACACAACACACACACAGATCAATATTGTATCTGACTCAGAAAGCATGCTGAGGATGATCAGGACAGGCATGCTTCGTGCAGAGTGGCATGCGGAGGACACGGGTGAGGAGTATTGTCTCTATTTTTTAACCAGATTACGCCGGTGTGTTGGGAAATGAACAGGCAGACAGACTCGCTGGCTCTGCACAACTTGGTGGAATGCTGATACATGATAAGGCAGACGTGGTTAGGGCCTTGTGGGAGAGCGTGTATAGTTTGGAGCAGCAGATGGATCACCACAGTCTGGTGAGATTGGTGCAGGGGGGAGTGACGAGAAGTTGCAGCAGATGCTCGAGGCAAGACCAAAGGAAAGGCAAGACGGACGTTTAATCAGAATGCTACTGACACCATCAGTATCGTAACTCTTCGCTGGCTGCTGAAGATGGGGACGAAGCGCTTATGGAAATGCCCCGAGTGCTGTGATGTCGGTTCTTGAATCAAATCTTCTGGGAAAACAATTTTGCCGGTCATCAAGACATGGCTTTTTTTTTAAGATATTGATACTGATCACAGTAAAAAGCCCTAGATAGTAAGACCAAAACCTGCCTTGCATATAATTATCAGCGATAACTATGGAAGGGTAGGCAGGAACCCATTAAATCCTCCCATAGACCAGTCATTTACATTTTATGGTGGGGTCCCACAAACAAACTGAACAGGTCATTTACAACAACAAAAAACAGCCTTAAACTTTAAAATGCAGTTCTTTGTGTAATTCTAAAAATTATCAGTTCTCCAGTATAATTACTTAAAAGAATGGGGTCCAGGGTTTCTTTTCTAGAAAAAAGAAATTTGCCAGTATTCACAAGATGTTTAAGTCAGCCAGCATAATACTGACCTCACCCACCAAGTGCCGATTGGTCTAGAATTATAGGTCTAGCACCATATGCCCAATACGCCTATTGGCATGAAAAAGGGTCCTGTACTTCTACTTTTACTTCTACTTTTACTTCTACTTTTACTTCTACTGTTACTTCTACTTTTACTTCTACTTCTACTTCTACTGTTACTCACCAGAAAGTGTCTATTATTGTAGTACTAAAAGAATGATCCCTAGAATAAAATGCAGGTAATTCGCACCATCAGAAAAAACAACTCCAATGGGGTTTATGGTAGAGCTTCAGAAATAAAAGGGGTCTGCAAGTGGTAGTTAACTGGGGACCCCTGTTATAGATACTGCCATCAGCAAAATCCAGATAGTCATTAGCACATTTACAAAATGCTTTGCATGAGTTTACTGAGGCCATTTACAACACTGGGAGATAAAAGGGGGGGGGGGTGGAAAGGGAGTGGGAATAATATAATCTTCACGTGCCAAGGATACCAGGACAGTACCTGGTGTAGCCCTAATTATAAATTCTTAGGAGATTGAACTGGATGGTTATGATTCATCCTGCTAAGTTAGATTTACAGTCAGGCTGTGGCTCTTTAAGTTGCTGGGTGAGGTGGGGCTCAAATCACCACAAAGCAGCCCAGAAAATAAACTCAGTGAGTCAATCAAAACAAATCTTGATTTATTCCAGTTACAATTAATTGGTTGGGTTCTGTTAACTTCAGAACTTACACCACTGCACTGTGGATTTTCCAATAAAAGCTCTGGTCCCATCTTCAGCAGCCAGTGAAGAAGAATGTGGTGCCATAATTACATATAATTATTAAGGTTTTTGAGTGGGCTACAATAATATTTGCTGCTGGAGACCAGACACTTGTGTTTAACTCAAAGGTAACATTTCTACTAATGAAGTTTTATTCTTCTTTGTTCAGCTGTTTAAAATCTAAGACACAATTCCAAGACATGAAGACGGGTGACCAAATCGTACTGTTTTTGTTTTGGCTCGGCTTGCCTGGGGGGGGAGGGGGGGATTGCAACAGTGTTGTGCCGTCGTCGTGCGATTTTGGAGCGCTAATTTGTCTAACCGTGAGCTACCCATCCTACATCCAGCCACACACATGTATGTGATAACGTACAATTGCTAGTTTACATTTAAACACCGAATTCAACCTAGATTAAGTAAGATAACTTGAAGTGAAAGTTTACCAAACCGAAAGCTTCTGCTACCTGTCCTCCATTGAGTGGAGATGCAACAGATGGCGTTCAAATCTTTAATTATTATCGAAATCTAGATTAAATCATGTCCGTTGAAGCTACAGAACTAAACGAATAACCTCTCCATTTCTTATCTGTTTGATTAGAGTGCTTGCTCAAAGTGTGATGTTTTCATAAGTGTGAAATAATCCAATTGAAATAATTAAAGAAGAATTCCAGTTGTAATTTCTGAAAACATACAAACCATTTCCTGTCACCTCATAACAGCTATATTTAGTATCAATGTCATGTGACATAAGTCATGTGACTTATATTTAGGCAAAAATTAATGTGTTTTTTGGTTATAAGTTAGATTATCTTCACAGCACTCTGTACACATCCATAGGCGCTCAGATTACCCTCTCAACATATTCGTCTGCGTCACGTGGTTAATAGTGCCAGTCCTATGCTGGTTGTGCGTCCGGTGTGCTTCTCATGCTTGGCTATGCCAATCATAACTCCCAATTCCTGTATTGTTATCATTGATGTGGCACGTTGCTTCCAAAATCCTCAGAACGTCATATCTCTCTAAGGACAATGACAATATCTGCGTGATCCATGAACCAGCCGTCTTCAATTAATGCAGCACCTGCCCGTCTATCAGCTCTTTCATTACCAGCAACGCCTGCATACCATAAGACAAATATAAAGGTAACTGCACACACAGGGGAGTTTTGTAATGACTCAAATCACTGTCTGCGTAACCATCCTGTCTCGACCGGCCGGATCATGCTCAAAGAATCACTCAGCACACACATGCAGAAATAGTCCTGTGATTCTAGCCACATGAAAGCTTGTGTCACCGCCATCACCTCCATTGTCATGCTGCTGGTGGTCATGGAGAAGGCACCGCTGGCTTCTTGAACTGTTCTGCCTGAAAAGCGAGCTGTAAATGCCCATGCACTTTATGTCCTCGTATAAGGGACCCATCTTTAAAGATCGGCACATTTTTCTCTTCTGACTTGTCACTGATAAGCGCGCATAACTGGGCATTGACAGCAGTTGGATTCTGCTCCTATCAAGCTTTACGACACAGGAGAATGTGAGATTTAACGCTTTAGGGACTGGTATCCATTCATCGCCTGGATGGATATCTGTAAGGCTGCAAACCTGCATGATGTCCTGCCCAACCCAGCTATGATATGCTACTTTTAGGCCTATTTCCGTTTTTCTTGAAGAGCATGTGGTGCAAAGGGTGCTTCAGGTCTCAGCTTATCTTGAGGTATGCACAAACCATCCAGACCCTTATTGCTGACAGGCCTTTGCGTGCTTTTCGATTTTTTTTTACTCCCAACAACCCTACCCTTTTGTTTTCTTTCTTCCTTCATCCCCGGTGTGGAATCCCAGAGGAGGGTTTAACCATGTAACACTAAGCTTTTCTCCAGTCTACTACATCCAATAGGCCCCTCTTAGCCGTTCTTTCTTTTGCGACTGATTAAGGTGTCTTGCAGTGTGTATGACTAACATCTCACGGGCGAGAAACATACTGATACAAATCATGGAAACCTCTTCTCCCGTATAGCCAAATAGCAGTCATAATTGGGCGCCACAGACCGTTTAGTCCAGTGTGTGTGGGCTTTAGTTGTAATGTTTCTTTATCAATATCCTGCAGATCCTCAAGTCCTCATTAAACATTCTACATTCCTTCCTTCCTCTACTTTCTACCGTTTCATGTCTTTTAATTTTTCTAACTTTTCTCCGTAACTCTCTTTTCACTTGCAGTCTCTACGGAACATCAGTATGCAGTTGTGTTTGATTCCGTGAAATACAAACTGTGTATTCATATTTCCAGAGACTCATTTCATTTTCTAGTTGATTGTGAATTGGCCAGTTTTCTGTTCCGTACAGCAAGATTGAATATACATATTTGACGATTCTCACTGTAATGTGTTGTTTACCTCTCTAGCTATCAATAATTATCGATTCTTATTGAAGATAATTTTAGCCATTAATGTGAATGAGTGTGTGTGTGTGTGTGTGTGTGTGTGTGTGTGTGTGTGTGTGTTTCTGTTTAACTTATGCCATCATCTGTTATTACGTGTCCAAGACAGAAATGTTGAATTAAGAATTGACATCATAGCACTCGGAACACTCCCATAAGTACGCCGTCTCCATCTTCAGCAGCATACGAAGAGTTCCAACTCCGGTGGCACCAATAACGGATTGTATATCCGTCTCGCCATTCCTTTGAGTGTTGACGTCGGCCAAATCTCCTGGTAACTCCTCGCGACACCATTCTCCTCATACCCTAATGATCTGTTTGTGCCTCCGCACTGTTCACCCACTCCTAAAAGGCCCTCACAACATTTAGCTTGTCATACATCAGTTCACCACTAAGTGGTACAGAACCGGCCAATCCATCTGTCTGCTCATTTTGCAACCCCCCGGCATAACCTGAAGAAAATATACAAAGGACGCAAACTACCCAGGACCTCTGAATGATGCTTGCCACTCTGCACGGAGAATACGTCTTCACCTTTCTCAACATGCTCTGTGAGTCCGTTACAATCACAGCATGTGTGTATTGCTGATTCTCAAGCCAGCTGAAGGCAGCAGTGACTGCCTCCACCACTATTCTCAAACTAGAAGTTGTGCTTTTATATTCCAGGCTTTGTTGCACTGATGTTCATTCGCTTTTGCCATGAACCCCTATGCACGTCGTCTGCTTCTCAGCACAGAGCCATGTGTATAGATAATCACATCACCCTGGCAGGAATCGACCTAAAGCGTTTAGAACCCTACACAAATCTGATTCTTTTTCAAACACTTTGACCCAGTCCTCTCCTCGCCCAAATTTATCAAGCCTGCACACATGTCTAATTGATCTTCAGCTTGCGTCATCCAAGACCTTCCTCTTTTCAGTCTGCGACCCTTAGCTTTACCTAGCGCTTCATGCGAGAGGTGTTTCATGTCTACAGCTACTCTAAGATGTGACATTGCCTGCAGAACTTTGAGCCTATCTAGTAGGCAGTGCAAGTATATCTCGCATACACACTACCGGAGTATCTCTTGTCATCATCATCATCATGTAGTAGGTCCTTTGCAGAACGTCGCTCTCGTCACAGTCTGCCTGAAAGAAACTCGGTCTCTCGCTAGTTCTCCGGCCTCATGTACTTTCATCCTCAAGGAGTCACGTATATCATGTGCCCATCTTCGCGTCGGTCAGTCCCTGCCCCTCCTTCCTGGTACCATGCCTTCTGCTATAATTTTTTTTCCAGTCCGTCGTGGCGCTTGATATGACCAAAATATTTCAGCTTCCGAGATAGGATGCTGTTCATTAGCCAATCTTCCTTGATGTTCAGATTTTTCAAGATGTCAGTATTTCTCCTCTTCTTTGTCCAAGATATTATGAGAATCTTTCTATAGCATTTCAGCTCAAAAGCACCTATTCTCTTTCTTAAGGACTGAGAGATAGTCTACAACTCACATCCGTATGTAGCCACAGGGAAGATGCATGCTCTCAAAATTCTAATTTTGATCTCCTTGTTGGTGCTTAACCACAGACTTTTAAGGCTGTTCAATATTTGCATTGCTGTATCCATCCTTTTTTTATCTCTTGTACATTCTATAATTACCCGCATGACTTCATTCTGTATGCGTCGAAGTTTCATCAGCTGACAGGAGAAGCTTGTTACTTGTTCTCATGTTCTTTCTTGAGTTACGCAGTTGTACGCAGTACATGTACTTTTGTGGGCATACTTCGTTCAGCACCACTGTAATGAACATTTTGTGATGAGAACTGTACTTTTATTAGAGGCTTTGTGGTGATCACCGGCACCTTTTTTCCCAGAGAAATCCTTGTTTGTTTGTATATGTCTGTTTTCTGTGATGTTCACACACACAAAAAAGCAAGTGCACTTATATATTAAACAAACAGTCAGCATTATTAAGACATCCAAACATAACTAGCAGTGCAAAGAAAATTATTTGAAACAGCATATTCATTCCAGCATTGAACCACCAGTGCCAAACATGAACATTATCTAAGGCCCATGTACGCAAAATCAACACTTGCGAGTTGAGATGCCTGAGAGAAAAAAACCGCCAACCTAATCATCTGAGAACGAGTGAATAATGACACTATCAGATATTGGAAACAACACGTTGTACTAGATTCATCGAAAAACAGAAGATAAAGTGGTCTAGAATGCAGCAACACCAAATACCATCAATTACTACATTTCAGAAGACCAGCTACAAGAGTAAGAGGACGACCACGAAAAATGAATTGACAACGTTAAAGACACTTTACGCCTTCACAGCATGACAATAGCTAGTGCCAGCCAGCATGCATTTGACCGCAAATTGTGTATCCCCACACCGCTTAAGGACAGGCGTGGTTTACGGTGATGGTGACGATGAGACGATGCTGGTGATGAATGTTGGCACCTTTCCAGGCGATAGTGTTATATTGTGCTATGGGGAGACATGAGACTCATAGCCGGTGGCGATTGTCACTAGCAAGACTCTGTCAAAAGTTTGTCACAATTTACTTTGATTCTTCCTCTCCACAGTACAAAGTCTGGGCAGTATTTTAGAGACCACATGTTGCACATGCATCCTAATCCATCTACCGACCTGCCTTGTTTACTTCAAAGGAAAGGTAACACAAGTACGTTTGAAACGAAGCAGGCTGCAGAAGAGGCTGTCGGATCAAAAGAGCAGTGCTCAATCTGTCCGCCTGTCAGAGCTTCCCTCCTAGATCAGCTGCCAGTCAAGACTAACGGTCTGGTCTTGCGGTGGATACCAGCCCACTGTAGTATTCAAGGAAATGAGAGAGCAGATGAGTTGGCAAAAGCTGGGGAATAATCTTCCACAACCTCATCCACCACACAGCTACAAGGAAACCAAAACAGCACTAAAGCAGTCTTTTAAGCGGGAGTGGAGAAAGCAGAATAGAGATTACAGACCAGAGAGTGACAGCATAAACAAACTCAGCAGGAAAGAACAAACATCAATTTTTAGACTTCAGACTGGACACTGTGGTCTTCGAGCACACCTGTACAGGATAGGCATAAAAGAATCTGCTGCCTGTGATTGTGGAGCAGAAAGACAGACCCCTGAGCACATACTACAGTACTGCCCTTACCTCTCCCAGCAAAGACTGGATCCACAGGGGATCCACATTGCGAGAGAAGCTATGGGAGACCGGTGGCGACCTTAAACGCACAATCCTATTTTTAACCCAGACGGGACTCAATGTGTAGCATGACTGATGTCGAACGCAGAAGAAGAAGGTCTGGTCTGACAGTAAGTCACTTACCATTAAAAAAAATTGTCAGAAGGCATTTCCTATTCCCTAGGATAAGGCCTCCACTATCCGTTCAGTTGATGGTGGATAGTTGCCGGTGACTTGATCCCGCCTAAAGTGGACCCAGCAGACGGGAAGGTAAACAATGCTAGGGCCAACATCTGGGCGTATCTGGAACAGTCTGTTTCATGGACAGATGTTTGATTTAGTACTTGTTTAGTTGAGACTGATTCACCTAGCAGTTAGTAGCAGCTAATCGTACTACCCCTGAAGTATGCTGAGTCGACGGCAAGTGACCGTTCAAAGGGACAATTTAATTTCTATATGCAGGTACAGCTGTCTCAGTCTCAGACAGTGCAGTGTCTGCCTGTTGTTAATCTAACCATAACCCAAAATGTGCAAAGAAAGTAATATTGTAAACAATGACACCTGATTGTTTTAAATAGATAATTACACGATATATGAAAAATCACATATGTAATCCGAGAACTCGATAAGCACTTTATAAACCAATTATAACCTTGAGAACAACATAGTTTCCTCTGAATTTATAAGACTTTTCCCCACCCCTGTCCATTTAGTTTCACATAACCCTAAAATACTAATTCTATAATGTTTCATTCTAATGTCGAATCAGTACTTTTGTATGGGGCGGAAACATGGAGAACAACCAAGGCAAATACTAATAAATTACAGACATTCAATAACTGGTGCCTGTGCAGAATAGAGAGAATTAAATGGAATGATAGAATCACTGGCTCTCCTCCGAACTTTTACCCCCGCATTATGGCAGCAACAAATATCCATACAGGGCTCAGTTCTTTAAAAAATATGCCAGCTCCGTTTAACGAAACAAATGCTCTAACAGGATCTCAATATGCCGACCTATTTCTGTGACTATGCCTCACCGCCGACCGTATCCCCTGCTACGCGCGGTGCGGATGGGGGCTAAACTAGATGGCTGGGACTCACGAGCAGCAGCTACCGCATCACCTGCAACTTCCTCCAATCAATTAGCTTGTGAGTCCCAGGCACCTAGTTTAGCCCCCCATCCGCGCCGCGCGTTGCGGCGCGGGGGATACTGTCGGTGATGAGTGTAACCGCGTTTTGCACATGCCAACAAGTTTGAGGACAACGACGACGCTAATCTGCGTCGGCGCACGTGGACTCCCCGCCATGTGGCTTTTATCGTCAGTAATGTTGCGTGTCTCAAAATTTTCTATGGTCGCTAGTATCGTCTGCTAGTATTGTCTGAAGAAACGCTCGAAAGTGTCAATGCTCGCTATTATCGTCTGCTACTATCCTCTGCAGTGTTGTGTGTCTTGAAATTGTCAGGTAATCCTAGTTTTGCCGCAATTCGTTTGTCGCCAGAAGTTTGCATATTTTTAATAGAACTGAGCCCCGTACGGATATTTGTTGCCGCCATAATGCAGGGGTAGAAGTTCGGAGGAGAGTCGAATCACTAATATAGAGCTTTGGGAGAGAACTAAGCAAGCTCCAGTGGACCAAGAGGTGAGGAAAAGACGCTGGCGTTGGAAAGGCACATATTAAGAAAACCTGAGAACAGCATAACTAGAATGTCTTTGCATTGGAACCCACAGGAACATAGGAATAAAGAAAGGCCAAAAAACACATGGAGAAGAGAGCTGGAGAATGAAGTTAAAAAGATGCGGAGGACATGGGGAGAGCTGCATGTAATAGCGAAGGATAGAACGACTTGGCATGAGTTGGTTGAGGGCCTATGCTTCATTGGGGGATAGAAAGGCAGAAATAAATGAAAAACCTTGAGAACTGAACAGGATACTTTTGTGAAAATTACTACTACATCCAAGTTCTTTGTCTTGTCTGGCAAGTCTATCCATCTGTTCACCATCTCATGATCATTGAGGAGTCTGCAACCTTCTCTTAGTTTGTAAAAATCCACGGTCAGAATCATAGATAGAACTATGTCTGCATAAGCCAAAGGGCATGTTGTAACCTGTATGCCCCCGGTCTGTCTGTCTCTAGTTTGTCAAACTTAAAAAGTTGTTTCTCTAGTTGACAGTGAGGTTCAATCAATATAAATCCAATGTTACATTCTGGGACTTCTGGCAAAGGCCATATTAATATTCATATTAATAAAACAGAACTTTCCTTTTGTATGTAATTAAAAAAAGATCTCATGATTGATAAATTTGAAGTTACCATTGTAATCAGTGTTGATCTTAAATACGGTTGAGGGATGTTTAGCTTAACTTGATAGTGTGATTTATGTACTTCAGCCAAAAGAATTCTTTTTAATGTTTTATTTTATGTTGATTTAACTGTAGGAATGCACCTGACAAGATACAACGAAATATGCCAGTCAAAGGTGCAATGTATTGCTTGTATTTAATTTAACTTTTATGCTTACAGTATGTTTCAGGCAATTTTTCAGACAACCATTGGCTTGTAAAGCAAGCTGTATTTTACTTTGTTTGGCTTTCTCAAGCAACTGGACAAATTTAGTTAGTATGTTTATAAAACTGTCTGCTACTAACATAGCTAATGAAAGGAACATAATTTTGTAATAATGTTGACATTCAAAATCTTTGTAATTCAGTGAGGGAAAGTGATCAAATTGCACACAAGAATACCTTTAGGTTGAGCCAGTCAATTGACATTTCTTTTGTACCTGGGTAACGTGTAGTTTTTAGGCATATGAGCTTTCACATCATCTAATAAATATCAAATAAAATTTTTTCTTCAACAATATAGTATGTGTGATATTTTTAAATAGTTTTTTCATGACAAGGATTTTTGTCTCTGTCATCACACAGAATTTCAGTCAAGTGTCTGCTGGACTATGCTTCTCTATATACCCATGTGAATGATGACTGTGAGGAATTCATCAACTTCTGTGCAGTCTTTGAGCAGCTTGTTTCCCACAGACTAAAACGTATGTGGTTTATGTCATGCCACGTACTCATCAAGATTTATGGCTGTTATTGCCATGAAGTGGCTTTAAACTTTTGATTGTTCAATGATACATAACATTGTAGTAATAGCCGTTGCTTCCTTTAAAACTGGAGTGCATGTGCCTCGGAGGTGAAGAACCAACAGCCTGCATACAAGTAAAGCAGATCTGTAACATGGATGTGTATGCTTAACTCACGTTCTTGGGCAAGACACAAGTCCAGAGGTGGACAAACAACCATAATTTTTGCACAGGAGTTTACGGCTGATAAATACTAAGAAGATCAATACTAAGATATATTTTGGAAATTCAGGAAGCAACCCTTATATTGACTAAATCACTCTGTGGTATGTTAAAAAAAAATATAGAGCCAGCAACCTCATGGTATTGATAAGGACCTTGACCCATTTTTATACTGTACCAGAAATTAAAGTTCCAGGGTAATTTCTCACACATACCTTGTTGAAATCGTGATTAATCTGTGGTTATAATCGCAGTTCCAACTTCTTAACCAACAGGTCACCTATATTGCTTCATTCTCTGTCAGCGTCCCTTGTGAAAAAAGAATTATACAAAATGCAGTACACACGCATTACAGGCATAAGGTAGCTGTAACAAGTACCAACACAGAGTCCGCCATTATAAATGCAGTTCATTGTTGATGGTAGCATGCAACAGATCAGTAGTTGCACATGCAATTAATCGCATAAGGAACAACCAGTTCTCTGGCAACAGGCCACTTACCATTCTCTAAATTAGCAGTTTACAACACAAAGCACATTGGGCACACAATTGAAATCTGCAGGTCACCATGTTATGCCCTGCACTCAGCTCAGTGGCTGAGCAATGCAACAATATCTTTTCAATCTAACTATTGAGGAAAATACAAGGGTTAACTATTATCAGGAGAAAAATCTTTCAACCATTAAAAACAGTAAACTGCCTATCCACATATTGTCCCCAGCTCCTTTGGTTTTAAATATTTTGAAAATCCGTGTCTTCTTCTTAGCATTCACCAGCTGTAAACTCTGTGGGAAAGTTCTGGTTGTGTGCACATGCCAGGGTGTAAACCTTACTCTAGAACTTGAATTTTGCATGCATATCCGTTTTACACATCTGCTTATTTGTATCCAAATTGTTGGTTGCTCGCATATTGGGCAGATGAGAACACTCTGGGATGTGCTGACATAGTGGTAAAGAACACACTGGGATGTGCTGACATAGTGGTAAAGAACACACTGGGATGTGCTGTCATAGTGGTAAAGAACACACTGGGGTGTGCTGACATAGTGGTAAAGAACACACTGGGATATGCTGACATAGTAAAAAAAGAACACACTGGGATGTGCTGTCATAGTGGTAAAGAACACACTGGGATGTGCTGTCATAGTGGTAAAGAACACACTGGAATGTGCTGACATAGTGGTAAAGAACACACTGGGATGTGCTGACATAGTGGGAAAGAACACACTGGGATGTGCTGACATAGTGGTAAAGAACACACTGGGATGTGCTGACATAGTGGTAAAGAACACACTGGGATGTGCTGTCATAGTGGTAAAGAACACACTGGAATGTGCTGACATAGTGATAAAGAACACACTGGGATGTACTGTCATAGTGGTAAAGAACACACTGGGATGTGCTGTCATAGTGGTAAAGAACACACTGGGATGTGCTGTCATAGTGGTAAAGAACACACTGGGATGTGCTGTCATAGTGGTAAAGAACACACTAGGATGTGGTGACATATTGGTAAAGAACACACTGGGATGTACTGTCATAGTGGTAAAGAACACACTGGGATGTGCTGTCATAGTGGTAAAGAACACACTGGGATGTGCTGTCATAGTGGTAAAGAACACACTGGGATGTGCTGTCATAGTGGTAAAGAACACACTAGGATGTGGTGACATATTGGTAAAGAACACACTGGGATGTGCTGACTTAGTGGTAAAGAACACACTGGGATGTACTGTCCTAGTGGTAAAGAACACACTAGGATGTGCTGTCCTAGCTGGAAAAGAACACATTGGGATGTGCTGTCCTAGCTGGAAAAGAACAAATTGGAATGTGCTGTCCTAGCTGGAAAAGAAAACATTGGGATGTGCTGTCCTAGGTGGAAAAGAACACATTGGGATGTGCTGTCATAGCTGGAAAAATACACACTGGGGTATGCTGTCCTAGCACGAAAAGAACACATTGGTATGTGCTGTCCTGGCTGGTAGGGCCAATGAGAGAGAAAAAGACAAAATAGCTGGTAAGTTCTGTGTGTATCATGTTTGTTTATTTATTTCTTGTGTGATCAGCGAACCAGAAGAAGACATGGCTGCCAGGACAAGGGTCACCACGACACTTCTGGGATGTGTTGGTGGATAACTACCACAGGACCCAGGGATTTCTCTACCAGTCCTGTATTCCCAACATTGAAGCCATCGAAACACTCAAGTCACCGAAAGCTAAGGTAAATCATACATGAACTAATGGTTAATGTTACATTTATAAAGAGAAACAAGAATCATAACACTCTGGAAAACCTATAGATCCCGTGTAGGCACTTTTTTTGGTCAATGGGCGAAATTTAGAATTAGCAGCCTAGATGCGAGCTATATAGAAAAAATGCATAGTAAAAATAACACCCAGATTTCCTCGAAAAAAAATTATTGTAAATGCTTGGAATTCTTCTCTTTATATTTCTCTATTAGCGGGAGCCACACTGAAATCCAAACTAAGGCATCTTGAATTGTGTTGTTTCATCTGTTACTTTGTCTTCAACTAGCAGTGTCATTCATAATTGTCTTCCAAATGTCCATCCTGTTTCTGTTATGAGGGTTCCACTTTCTCTTTTACTCCTACATCTTCTCTCTTATTCTTGTTCTTCCCCTTCTGCTTCTGTTTCTTCAGGTACATACAAAGAATAGTCACACTTGACATATTGGTTGGGACATGTAAAGACTTGTCCCACATTAAGTAGATAAACAAAGAAAAGTCGGTCACATACATTTTCTTTTTCTTAGCGTATACTCTGGTGGAACGTTTTGGTTGTTCATCCACTTCTGGACTTACATCTCGTTCCAGAACTTCGGTTTTCATGCACATCCATTTTACAGATCTATCTTGTAGTCTTATAGTTATGCAAACTGTTGGTTCCTCGCCTCTCAGGCAAATGCCCTCTGAAAAACCAATTAATTTGTCACCTTTTTTTTTCTTACATGCTGGGACCCTAGAACATGGGGAGATTGATACATATACAGAATAGTCACTTGCTCATGGATAGCACTTACAAAGGGCCGTCAGTCACACTGATGCATTGCTTGGAATAAACAAGAGTTAATCCATTTTTTTCTGCCCATCATAGCTGAGGGCATTCATTAGAGTGGGATTGATGGAGAAACGGCTGTCAGACTACCTGACCTGGGTGCGGGACAACAAATATGTAATGCGGTAAGTGAAGTGGTTTCAGGAATATGCCATTCCTCAAATTTGTGTTACGATTACCTGTAATTGTCTGAGCTGTATATTATTTCTAGTGATTTCACTGGCTGCATCCGTAACTTTTCCTAACCATGCTTTTAAAATTATCCACGGAAAACAGGGTTGCTGAACTTCATGTGGGTGTTGCACACAGACATGGGCTTATACTGGACAAGATCTGTCTGTGCCTTTCCACGGTCATCCTAGTAACTGGTTCCCAACCTGGAGGCCATGCCAGTGTAGATCGGAATAAAGTTTCCTTCAGAGTACATCTGTGTGAGAGGCAAGAAACCAGTAGACTGCCCTTATGTAAGTCAGATCTGTAAAATGGATAGGCATGCAAACCTCCGATCCTGGAACAAGACAAAAGTCTAGAAGTGGACGAACAGTCAGGACTTTTTGCCGGAGGTTGAGAGAAAAAACAGGAAATCAACAACACAAAGGAAATCATGTTGACAGCAATGAAGCATACAACATCTAGTTTTGTTTTCAAAAAAATAGTGTTCTGTTCTCATGATGATATTGGTTGCTGTACCAGTAAGTAGCAGGTACAAATATCTTCTTTGGTGTTGTTGTTACCTTCTTCTTATGTTATTTTATCAAAGATTTTTATATTTTTGTTCTCACCATTGAGTGGCTGAGATGTTTGGGTGTTCACCTTTCATATCGTGGGATCTGTGTTCTATTCCTAGGTAAGGCTCCTTGTAGTGGAGGTAACAAAATAAAACAAAATACTAGCCTGTGACCTGCTCGGAGACTGCCTGGGCAAATAAACGTTATCCCATACTCATGCCATCACCCTCACCTCTTTCCCTATACCAGTCCATTTCAAGAAAACGTTCACTGCAAATATCAGTATGTCTACAAATACGGCATTCAAAACTCTCACTGCTGTCTGTATTTACCTTGTTTTGGGTAGTGTAGATAACATATATGCTGAGAATGTTATGAGAAACACAATTAGCAATGAGGTATGTGAGACCTTTGATCCACTAAAAATTGGTATGTAATCCTATTCTCAGAATTCAGATGACACAGTTCGCCTTTCCAAAGTGTACAAGGTTTAGAAAAATTAATTCTGGCCGTCGAAAAGTGCAGCAAAGAAGTTAATCTTTTTTTTTTTTAATTTAAAAAAAAAATTATGTCCCTAGTAAATACAGCACACCAACCACATATCACAATCGAAAATGAAGAAATAGAAAATGTCACAGATTTTGAATACTTGGGCTCTCTAGTGAACAATGGTGGCGACTGCTCAAAAGAAGTCAGAAAAAGACTTACATTAGCAATGCAGAGATTAAGCAGCTTGAAGAACCATACGGCAAAGCACCTGTAAATTAGTTAAAGTACAATCTTGAGATCATGCGTTTTTTCTGTGGCAACCTGCGATTGTGAGTACTGAACTCAGTCAATGAAGAAAAAGATTGGAGCTTTTGAATTGAAATGTTACCAAAAAAATTCTTACATTACCATGGATAGAGAAGAGGGAAAATATTGACATTCTGCACGAGTTAAACATCGGGGAGAAGTGGCTCATAAACAGCGTCGTGTCTCAAAAGTTGAAGTAATTTGGCCACATCAAACGTCATAGTGGAAAAGACGGTGCTGAAGGGTGCAGTTTGTGGAAGGCGAGGTAGGGGTTGACCTCAACAAAGATGGATGCAGGACATTGAAGATGTATGGGAAATGATAGCACATGGCCTTAGATATCTGGCTAGGAAAAAGGATACTTTCAGGCAGGCTGTGAAGAAATCGAGGTTCTGTAAAGGAGTTGTTGATTGATGACGAGATAGGGGGTTATGAGTGTCAGGTTTTAGGGGTGCATGAACTGCTGTCACCACACACTGGGAAGGTTAGACTGTTTGATTTTGCCCCAGAAAAACTCCATCACCTTACCGAGAACCGGGGGAGGGCGTTAAATCAAGTCTCCTCCATGAGAATACAGTTACTGTGCTGCCGAATCCAGATCAACTTAGATTGTTTACTTGTGTTTCTTTCATAGTGAAAGCTATCTTGGTTTCTTTCATAGTGAAAGCTATCTTGGTTTTTTTCATAGTGAAAGCTATCTTGGTTTTTTTCATAGTGAAAGCTATCTTGAAGGTGCATTTATGACTTCAGAAGAGGCAGCTGTGCTTGTGGGAGAGCTTGTCGGTCTAAATGCCATAGATTTTAAGTAAGTGTCAATCTCTGTATATCTAGCCAGATATGTACTTTTTTTTTCTTTCTCTTCCTCTCTCTGTTTCTCTTACCCTGTCTGTCTTTGTCTGTCTGTCTGTCTGTCTGTCTGTCTGTCTGTCTGTCTGTCTGTCTGTCTGTCTGTCTGTCTCTCTATCTGTCTCTCTCACACACACACACATACTCTGTTTCTCTCATTGTGTTTCTGTCTTTCTATCTCTCTGCTTCTGTCTTTCTGACTCTTTCTCTCTCTCTGTCTATATCTCTTTCTCACACATATACTCTCTCTCTCTTATTATAGTTCTGTCATTCTATTGCTCTCTCTCTCTGTCTGTCCTTTCTGCCTCTCTGTCTCTCTCTCACTCTCACACACATACTCTCTCTCTCATTCTGTTTCTGTCTTTCTATCTGTGTGTGTTGTTCTGTCCCTGTCTGCCTGTCTTTCTCTGAGTGTCTCTGTGTCAGGAGATGTCTACAGCCTAAGCCAGAAAACTAGTTGGAAGTAAAGTCTGTGTCATGGCCTATGCCTAGGGCCAGCAGAGACAGGTGAAAGCTAAACAAGGTTATAAGGCACTTCCACATCAAAGAGAGCTAGGGGCAAGAATACATTATACATACATAAGTTTGAGAATTACCGTAATTACTGAATAATTTATAAAGTCTGTAGGTGTTATCTAACAATTTGTCTTGTTTTCTTCTTCATGTTCGCTAGCTGTAAACTCAGGTAGAAAGTTTTAGGTGTTCGTCCACCTCTGGACATTAGTCCTTTTCCTGAACCTGAGTGTTACATGAACATCCGTTTTACAGATCTAACTTATTTAACTTATTTGTATGCAGACCCTTGGTTCCTTGACTCTCTGGCAGGTGCACTCCGACTTCGAAGGAATCCCCTAATTAGTCGACTCTTACCATATGCTTGTTGGGGAAGCAGTGGGTCTGTTCTTGTTTTCTCCATCAAGGGGCCCCCTGAATCTGCATAGGGAATAAAATTCACTATTTCTGCACATTGAGACATATGTTATTAATTTCATATTGTTATAGAGCAACACACATGTCATGATTGTAACTGACTCACAGTGCATGGGAGAGAGATGGAGACAGGTATGCTCCGTGCAGAGTAGCAAACATCGCTTTATAATTCCCGGAAGTAGTTAACATCCTTTGGATATTTTCTTCTGGTCAGACCAGTGTGTTGGGAAATGAACAAGCAGATAGGCTGACTGATTCTGCACCTCTTGATGGTGTTTGATGCAGGACAAGCTAGATGTTATGGGAAAAGGGGGGGGGGGGGTGAGGGAACCAAGTGGAGGCACAGATAGATCATTGTGGTCTGGAGAGAAAGGTGTTGTGAGAAGTCTTCTCCTTCTTCTTATGTCATCTCACTGTTACCTGGTTGTAGCCCAGTGTTGTGGTGCTGTGGGCAGTGACCAGGTGATCTGGTCAATGTTCCAATGGAATTGGAACTCTGCTGAAGATGGGGATAGAGCACTTGTGGGAATAGCCTGAGTCCTGTGATGTAGATTCTTAGTTAAACATTAAAACATTGTTATAGACAGCACTTAACTCATGATGTGGCCAGTGTCACGCCAACCACTTATACTTCCCAGGGCATTTTCTGGTACTTTTTTAAGGCTTGATCAGCCGGGGGGGGGGGGGGGGGGGGGGGGGGGGGGGCTAGTTAGTTTTTACAAATCTACCTAGATGTGAATTTGAAACAATGACCCAACCCACTGCATTTTTGCAGGGCCTGTAATCTCTAAAGGTAAAACAAGCAGCTTGTATGCAGACTGTTGGTTCCTTGCCTCTCAGGCAGATGCACTCTGACTTTGAAGGAAGCTACCAATTAGTTGACTCCTACGTCATGCTTTTGGGTAAGCAGTGGGACTAATCTTGTTGTCCCTACAATGGAGTCCCAGGTCAGCATTTGATATCAGTAACAAATGAAATGTGTCCCTGCATTGTTTCAGTTTCTGTTTAAAAGGCAATGAGAATGAGCTGCTGGGACCACTTGAAATCAACTACAGTCCCTTTTTGGTATACAAGCAAAGGTCAGTAATATGTGATTCTTAATACATTTCTATATTGTGCTGTATCCCTTCCATCTCTTTGTTTATTTCTCCTCTTTATCTTCCTCCTCCTCTTCCATTTTCTTCTATTTTTGATCTTACATTTTTATTCTTTATGTTATCCATCACTTGTAGTCATATCCCCTTATAATGTTATGATATAGTGTAAATAAAACATTGTAACTTCACATTTCAGCTGCAGTATCATATGTTATGCTATTTGCCTTTCCCTCTTCTTTCTGTCATCTTTTTTTCCCTTCCCTTCATATCTTCCCTCCTTGCTTTCCTCCCTCCTTCCCTTTTTCTTACCTTTATTCCTTACTTCACAATTTGTTCCCCCTCTAAAGAAACATTGAACTGCACCCTGCTGCTGCACTCCATATAGCTTCTTCTCACTTTAGTCAGTCGTTTGTCGAGCTATCATGGAGAAGTCATTCAGTTCACAAGTGCTGTATTTTAAAAGATCCCTGGGGATTGTCACTGGAGCTGTGGAGTTCATGGTTTGTTTGACAGTCTCGGTAAGTGGCTGAGAATTCTGTGGAGAGAGACAAGCCATGTTGAGATAAAATCAAATGCAGTGAAGTTGATTCTCTCAACTGTAACTTTCCAGGGGATGGTTTCCTTGAGGAGTGACTGTCACTGTGTTATTCCTCCTGAAACACTGTCACTGTGTTATTCCTCCTGAAACACTGTCACTGTGTTATTCCTCCTGAAACACTGTCACTGTGTTATTCCTCCTGAAACACTGTCACTGTGTTATTCCTCCTGAAACAATGTCACTGTGTTATTCCTCCTGAAACACTGTCACTGTGTTATTCCTCCTGAAACACTGTCACTGTGTTATTCCTCCTGAAACACATTCACTGTGTTGTTCCTCCTGAAACACTGTCACATCACATTTCGGCTGCAGTATCAGCTATCGCGCTATTAGTCTTTCTCCCTTCTTTCTATCATCTTTGTTTTTCTCTTCCCTTTGTATCTTCCCTCCTTCCTTTCCTGTTTTCCTCCCTCCTTCCCTTCTTCTTCCCTTTATTCCTTGCCTCCCAACATGTTTTTTTCTGTAAAGAGACATTGTGCTGTCCCCTGCTGCTGCACTGTGTGCAGCATCTTCTCTGAAGTGAGTCTCTTTGTACTGGGTCTCACTGGTACTACGAAGACACTGGCTGTTGTCTAGAGGTCGAGTTCACAGATCAGATGAGACAGATCTTCTTCCCAATTCACACTTCTCCACATTATAGTTGATGCCATTTGATTACAGTATCATGTTTATTGGTCATCAGACATGAGCTATGAGAATCAGTCCACCAGTTTAATAAACAGTCTGCCGACAATCTACAGCATGACACTTCATTCATCCAGGTCCAAAGTGGTCGCACTTGAATCATACAATCACACCTCGATCATCGTTGACGTGCACACAATTAGCACAGTTAGCACTCAGCAGGACACATCAACCATCTTTCTCTCAGCTGTCTTTCAAAGTAGATTTTTATGCAGACAATCCACTTCCACTACTTCTAGCTCTGGATCCACTTTCACTCCTTCTCGCCCTGGGGCCCTGTCACAGAATGATTCGTTATTCAGCTATTCTCCCAGTTATCTCATGTTCCCAAGTCAACTCAGACAGTCAAGTGTTGTTTTTTTTGTCACATTGGCTTCATGTCTTCCAACCTAGGGACTTCCCCAGTTCTACCAACCAGTCAGACCCCTTCCATTAATCCTCAGTTTAACATCAATACATTCTCACAAGTCAGTAATTTGTCTAGCTTTTATGGAGAAGTCATTCAGTTCACAAGTGCAGTTTTTAAAGAAATTTTTTAGGGATTGGGATTGTCACTGGATCTGTGGAGTTCATGGTTTGTGTGACACTCTCAATAAGTGGCTGAGAATTCTGTCGAGAGAGGACAAACCATGTTGGGATAAAATCAAGAGCAGTGAAGTCAGTCCCCTTAATCCCGACTTTCCATAAGAATGTTTGCTTGAGGAGTGACTGCCCTTGTTGTTTCTCTTGTGCTGCCACCCAGCTCTGCTAGCCAGTGCAGTGATGAGATTGAGATGCTCCATCTGAGTGGCAAGGATGTTGATGAGCTGAGGCACACCAGCAGTATTTTGACTGAGAGCAATCTCACTGATGTCCTGCGTGTCCAGAACCTGGAGAAGGACATGAGGCAGATCAAAGAACAAAAGGTAACAATAACACTTCAGAAATAAGTATCATAAGAAAAAAATTTATTGTGTTTAAAAAAAACAATTCTAGTTTTAGAGGAGACCAGATCACAAATGACGAGGTTTGTCATATTATCATCTAACGCATTGGCTACTATGAACCTCTTTTCACTACAGCGAAAAGGTGGAAAATGCAATGGTATGGACATGTAAAAAATAGATCTAACGGCCTCTCACAAACAGTACTACACAGCTCAGTGGGTGTGTGTGTGTGTGTGTGTTGTCCATCAAGGTGATGATGACCACTCTTTTTCATCAAGTATGAGTACGAAGATGACTGATGGGGCCTCTCACAAACAGTACTACGCAGCTCAGTGTGTGTGTGTGTGTGTGTGTTGTCCATCAAGATGATGATGACCACTCTTTTTCATCAAGTATGAGTACGAAGATGACTGATGGGGCCTCTCACAAACAGTACTACGCAGCTCAGTGTGTGTGTGTGTGTGTTGTCCATCAAGATGACTGATGAGGCCTCTCACAAACAGTACTACGCAGCTCAGTAGAGGGGAAGAGACAGACCAAGAAAGACCTGGATACAGAACTTGACTGACTGGATAGGTCTTAGGCAGGCAGCCATGAAGTCCATTGCCTTTGACTGTCATAGGTGGAGACAGTCAACAGCAACTGGTGACCCTAGTGACCCAATGACACACAGTGTTACAGCACGATAATGATGATAAGATGTGACCATTATCTTTCCTCATTTGAGATTAATTAGATTCCTAGCCAATTCACAGAAAATGTGAAAATTGTCAGGTACCCACTTGTATAATGCCTGGTTGACCCCACTGAAATTGGAAACAAATGGATTGAGGAAATGAGGATGCCTAAGAGAGATTCTAAAATGAACGTTGTTCATATGAGAGGGATTGAACAGGTTCATTTCCTTAGGAGAGAGATACCTACTAAGTTCCCCCCCCCCACACACACACACACACACACACACACACACACACACACACACACACACACACACGCATGCACGCACTCTCTCTCTCTCTCTCTCTCCGTCTCTCTCTCTCTCTCTCCATCTCTCTCTCTCTGGATTTCAGGTTACTTTGTAATCATTGGGGTGCCTTAAAATAATGGTGTTATTTAGTTTCTGGTATTTGCTTGAGTGTGATTTTCATGCGTGAGATGCTAAATCTTGCTAACAGCAATCAAACAGAGCCAAAATGCCCATAACCACATCCTCTAAAATTCTCCAGTTCTCTAAAATACATGACTAAATATTAATTCCCCATGTGAGTCCCAGGGTCCCATTCTAGGGTAAACAAGAATAAACCCCCTGCCTGCCCAACAAGCATGTTGTAGGAGTCAACTAATTAAGGACATCCTTCAAAGTTGGAGAATATCTGCCTGAGAGGCAAGGAACTACAAGTCTGCATACAAATAAGCCAGATCTGTGAAATGGATGTGCACGCAACACTCAGGTTCTGGAGCAAGACTTAAGTCCGGAGGTGGGTGAACACCCAAAAATTTCCGCTGGAGTTTACAGCCGGTGAAGGTGAGGAAGAATAACCACAACCATTGCAATATTTGTTTCTTATCTATGTTATATAACTTTTGCTTTTGAGGACTACCTTGAAGAGCTCCTGCGGCTAAGGGAACGACAACTAACAGAAGCCAACATGAGGATTGAGAATGCAAACATTGAATGGCAGCAGACGGAGAGACGCCGAGAGCAAGAACGATTAACGATGGAAGCATGTATTTTAGAACTTCAACAAGAAATGTAAGTTAACTTCCCAAATCCTAGCCATTTGTTACAGTTATTGAACTCAGCTGAACAAGAGGAGCGGCTGGCCCAGCGGTTACATTGACGGGCTCTCATGCCTTGAGATCGATCCCTGGTAAGGTGATGGAGTTTTTCTGTCAGTGGCAAAATTAAACATCTTAACCTGCACAGACCATGGTGACAGCACTAGCCAGGCAGCCCTAATTCCCCAGGGTCTACGCTGCCCTAAAAAGTGGTAAAACAGACAGCAGTGACAGTTTGACATTTTTTCTCACTGAGCTCAGTAATATTTATTACTTCATCTTCTCTATTTCTTAACGCTCATGGTCACAATGAGCTACGGGTCCCATACCTTGTCATAGTTCAATATAACACTATCCTTTGGAAAGACAGAAAGGTACTCATAACAACACAACAAAAAACAACACTATCTGTCCTCTGTTGGCGCGATGATCTTGAGTTTGAATCCACATCAAAGCATTTTTCTTTTTTTTTAAACTGACCTCTGATTCCCAGGTAGACCTGAAATGTGTACCTGGTGATATCCTGGGAAGTAAATTTTACCAGCATGATTTTGATCACCTCACTCAACAGGGACGCATTAGTCTATACAAATATCAGTCTAGCATCATGTACCCCGCATATCATGAGTGATGTGTCCTGTAAGACACAGGCCTTTTTCAGTAAGTAGAATGTAAAAGACCTTTCTCATATCGAGGGAGCATTTTTTCTCAGAAAGTTGAATAATGAATAAAAATACAACAAAGATGTGATAAAGCTAATGAAGTTATTGGCTAAATGGCACCAGTACTTGAATGCCAGCATGTGAATATGAATACTCAAAGAGCCCTGTTCAACATTATGTTCTTAACAATGCTATACTATCAGTGTCAAACATGGACATTTATCTTCAGAAGACAAGAAAAATAATCATGACAGAAAATGAAGTTTTTACGTATCGTACTCAACTTAGGCATGAGGATATCAGGAAGTGAGTCAGCACAGAACCAATACTGAACTTTACAGATAGAAAACAGATCAAATGGTTTGGCCATGTGACAAGTTTGGCAGCAGGTAAGGCACCACAGAGAGCAGTGTCATACAGATACAGGTAACAGAGCCAGAGCTCAACCACACAGAAGATGGACTGGAGTGATATCAAAGATGCTGAAAAGTACAGTATATTAGGCAAAACAAAGAGCCTGTTCCAGAGATCCCTTTCTGCCCTGGTGCTGTGAGGCATTCCTGGAGTAGAGAACAGAGGAAGAAGAAGCATACCAGGGAAGTATGTAAGGCTAGACCAGACCAGTCAACACCCAGTGGCTGAGGTGGCCAGCACCAAGGCAGTTGCTGTTTCCCTAGATTTCCTGACAGACATTTCAGGCTGGATGAGCCCGGGAGACCTAGATCAGTTCTTACAATCTGCCAGGATGTGAACCAGTAGACAAGACCTTCAGGTCAGCAGGCAGGTGTCTAATCATTGCACTTCTGTGTCTGCTACAGATCTCCTTCTACTACTTCCTCAAGTCCGTACTGTATGTCATTGGTAGTCATGTCTAGCCGCAACATTCGTCTCATTAACATTCAGTTGATTCTGACTCATGATCTTCCATGCCATGAAGTCAAACTGTCCAGCAGCTTCTCTCTTGGTCTCCCTCTGCCTCTCCTCCCCTCCAGCTTTCCTACTGTCATGATATATTCTAGTTTTCTCCTTTTCATGACATCACCAAAGATATGGGCAGTCAGTTCTGTGAGTCAGTTTTCTTCAGGACATCTTCATTGCTCGTTTTATCTTCAAATCTCCATTACCTTCAAGAAAATTGTATGTTACCCATTTTTTTGTAGCTTGATCGATTGCTGGACCACATGGTCATGAAAAAATTCCCACTTTGAGGAGGGTTTAAACTTACAACATCCAGGTCAGCAGGCCTGTGCACTATCCACTGTCCTACTAAAGTGTTGCAGCGGTAATATGAACATTTCTGTCTCATTTACTCAGGGCCAAACTGCAAAAGTCAAATGATTCTCTAAAAGCACAGCTGTCAGCATCGAAGGTGTACAAACAGAGAACAGAGGTGAAGGCAGGTCCAAAGTTTGAGACTGCCACAAGTGGAGATAGGCAAAGGAACCAGTCTGCAATGCATGTGCAAATGGACTCTATCTGGAGCAGGTACAATCTGTCTGTCTTTGACTCAATTAATTTCTGTCTATCTCTGAGACTCATAACATAAACATTACAGTTTTGTGTTATCTGAGACAGATAAAAAGAGTAATGATCATTTCTTGAAAGAAACTTAACTCACAAAGAGAACTGATTGCCCACATCAGAAAGAGACAATCTACATTCTTTAGTCATATTTGAGAAGGAGAAAACTGGAGTACAAAAAGACAATCTACATTCTTTAGTCATGTTTGAGAAGGAGAAAACTGGAGTACAAAGAGACAATCTACATTCTTTAGTCATGTTTGAGAAGGAGAAAACTGGAGTACAAAGAGACAATCTACATTCTTTAGTCATGTTTGAGAAGGAGAAAACTGGAGTACAAAGAGACAATCTACATTCTTTAGTCATGTTTGAGAAGGAGAAAACTGGAGTACATTGTGACAGTAGGAAAGTTGGAGGGGAAGAGAGGCACAGGGAGACAAGAGAGAGATACTGGACAGTTTGACATCGTAGCATGGAGGATTATCTGCATCAGAGTTTACTGAAAGTACATGAGACAGAAGGTTGTGGATAGACATGACTACCCACGTCCTGCGACATGGACTTTGAGAAATGCAGAGATGATATGAGCTGAATTCTTAGTATTTGTTGCTGTGTCATTGCTGTTAAAGTTTATTATGATAATATTTTTACTATTATTATAATGAGTTACATGTAAGATCATATTTTTATAAATGATTTACATGTTAAACTATATAATTTTTGTTTGATTTGTTACTGAACTCGGAGCGACTGTGGTGTAGCGGCTAGAGGGTCACCTGTGGATCCAAAGGTCATGGAGTCAGGTCCTGACAGAGCTGGATATTTTTCAGAAATGACCTTGGCTCCCAGGTCGACCAAACCCTAAATGGGTACGAGGTAAAGTCCAAGGAAACAAGGGCACCATGTGTGATGTTGGCCGTATCACCACCGAGTACCAATTGATCCATAAAATATAGGTCAAACCCTACATCCCCAGTATGCCTAAAGGCGTAGAAAAGGGTCCTTTACTTTTTTTTGTGGCTATGTCCGACTTGATGTAGGAGAAACCATTTCACTTCAAACCCCTACATCAATATTTGGCATGGAAATGACCTTGAACTATGAGCATCGTGCCATTGATTGTGTGTTGGCTAATTTTACTTGTATTCTTTCATGAAGATCAAGCCTCCCTCAAATGTTTGGTGAGCAACCACCTGCAGCTGCTTCAGCTGAACATCCAACTGAGGCAGATAGATTCAGCAGCACCATTACCCAAGAGACAGAGAATCAAGATGTGAGTGAGGTAGGCCTGCAGGATGTTAACCTCTGTAGGTGTTCATGCAGATTCTACACAATAGTGTTACCTGTTATTGTTCTGGCTAGGTTCTTTCCTACTGTACCAGCCATTGTAATGGTCTTAGGCTGCGTCATCGTCCTTTTTTTTCCTACTTAGCAGGGGTATGGAGCCTGCTAGCAATGCCAGAAACCTGTGGAGAACACATTACCAACATAGACCTTATCTGTATTTACTGTGATATTATCAACATAGACCTAATCTGTATATACTGTGATATTATCATTATAGACCTGATCTGTGTGTACTGTGATATTACCATTATAGACCTGATCTGTGTGTACTGTGACATTACCAACATAGACCTAATCTGTATTTACTGTGATATTACCATTATAGACCTGATCTGTGTGTACTGTGACATTATCATTATAGACCTGATCTGTGTGTACTGTGACATGACCATTATAGACCTGATCTGTGTGTACTGTGACATGACCATTATAGACCTGATCTGTGTGTACTGTGACATTACCATAATAGACCTGATCTGTGTTTACTGCGATATTACCACCATTTACCTAATCTGTGTATACTATGACATTACCATTATAGACCTGATCTGTGTGTACTGTGACATTATCATTATAGACCTAATCTGTGTGTACTGTGACATTATCATTATAGACCTGATCTGTGTGTACAGTGACATTACCATTTTAGACCTGATCTGTGTGTACTGTGACATTATCATTATAGACCTGATCTGTGTGTACTGTGCCATTACCATTATAGACCTAATCTGTGTGTACTGTGACATTATCATTATAGACCTAATCTGTATGCACTGTCACATGACTAACCTAAACCTAATCTGTGCTGTATTATGACATCCCAGTACAGTGGTTCTCAACCTTTTTAATGCTGCGACCTTTTAATACAGTTCCCTCATGTTGTAGTGACCCTTTAATACAGTTCCTCTTGTTGTAGTGACCCTTTAATACAGTTCCTCATGTTGTGGTGACCCTTTAATACAGTTCCTCATGTTGTGGTGACCCTTTAATACAGTTCCTCATGTTGTAGCGACCCTTTAATACAGTTCCTCATGTTGTAGCGACCCTTTAATACAGTTCCTCATGTTGTAGTGACCCTTTAATACAGTTCCTCATGTTGTAGTGACCCTTTAATACAGTTCCTCATGTTGTAGCGACCCTTTAATACAGTCCCTCATGTTGTAGCGACCCTTTAATACAGTCCCTCATGTTGTAGCGACCCTTTAATACAGTCCCTCATGTTGTAGCGACCCTTTAATACAGTTCCTCGTGTTGTAGCGACCCTTTAATACAGTTCCTCATGTTGTAGCGACCCTTTAATATAGTTCCTCATGTTGTAGCGACCCTTTAATACAGTTCCTCATGTTGTGGCGACCTTTTAATACAGTTCCTCATGTTGTAGTGACCCTTTAATACAGTACCTCATGTTGTAGTGACCCTTTAATACAGTTCCTCATGTTGTAGTGACCCTTTAATACAGTTCCTCATGTTGTAGTGACCCTTTAATACAGTTCCTCATGTTGTAGTGACCCTTTAATACAGTTCCTCATGTTGTAGCGAACCTTTAATACAGTTCCTCATGTTGTAGTGACCCTTTAATACATTTCCTCATGTTGTGCCGACCCTTTAATATAGTTCCTCATGTTGTAGTGACCCTTTAATATAGTCCCCCATGTTGTGGCGACCCTTTAATACAGTTCCTCATGTTGTGCCGACCCTTTAATATAGTTCCTCATGTTGTAGTGACCCTTTAATATAGTTCCTCATGTTGTGGTGACCCTTTAATACAGTTCCTCATGTTGTGGTGACCCTTTAATACAGTTCCTCATGTTGTAGTGACCCTTTAATACAGTTCCTCATGTTGTGGCAACCCCCCAACCATACATTTATTTTCGTCACTACTTCATAACTTAAGTGAATATGCATTTTGTGATGGTCTTGTGAAAGGGTCATTTTACCCAAAAAATGGTTGCGACCCATAGGTTGAGAACCGCTATCCTAATATGTCTCTACACAGCTAAATAGAAATTTCTGCTTTTGAGGAACGAGACATATCCCCCCTCCCAATCCCTTCTCTATGTTTTTTTCTCTTGTCTGCTTCTTTGAGCTCCAATCAATACTTATAAATCAGGTTATCATGCTCTCTACACTTGTGAAGTTCCAGAGCTGAAATGTAGCTGTCTTCTTTGTTCACCTACTGAAATTCCGTCGGAAAGTCTAGGTTGTTCATACAATTGTACATCCATTTTACTGGCTTATTTGTGTTTATTGTTTGTTCCTTGCTGCTCAGGCACTTGCACTCTCACTTTATAGGAAGCCCCCAATTAGTGGACTTCTAAGACAAGCTTCTGATGAGGCAGTGGGTCTGTTCTTGTTTGAGGCCCCGGAACACTTACAGGTAAAGACTAATCCCCAGAGAAACTTCCGATCACACACACCACTACGAGATACAGATATCATAATTACAATAATATATCTGTGAAATGTTGCAGTCATTTAGCATGCCCAGTGTGCCGCGTGCGATGTTCGCTTGATACACCGCACACTTGCCAAGTATCTAGGTATGCTCAATAGTGTTACAGTTACAAGCCACCACTCCCGTCCAACAGCAATAGAGGACGCCGCATACATGTTGAACGTCAAAGTAGATTTAATGTATTTCAACACCAAGACAATGAAAGGTATCACGAGACATGAATTCTATACTGTCAGTCATTCTCACTAGCAATGCAACACACACTCAGGACACTCTGGGCTGCCACCCTATGTTGCGTGGTTGCTACGGGTAAACACTACCCGCTCGCGCAAATCCACTACTCGTGATTACGTGACTGTCTCTATGTCACCCATCCCTTGGGTACACTGTCACTAGAAAATCATACAGGCCGATGCACAATACCTTGTGAAGATTATCCAGACCTTCCGTCTGCGGCCTGACACGTACTTGAGATCCCCTGATCTCACCTTACGAGCTTCCGTCATGCTGGCCCGGCCACTGTGCAACTATCGCAGACAGCCTGGACGCCTAATGCCAGCGTAACACACAGGTATGCAGGACTAGTCTGGAACCATCCAGATTAGAACATGCCTTCCACCACAGCGTCGTAGAGGTCTCTCTCTTTCTCTCTCTCTCTTTTTACATTCCATTCAATTCTTTACTGCACCGCACCAAGTTTTTTGTTCATTACTGCACTTCCCTTTTCGTAGACCCATATATTGTACACAACACAGTGATACTGCTGTTTTTTTTTTAGTGCAGAAAATATACAGTTATTTATTTATCTTTTGATCTAACTGTTTCTAGAATTTTGTCAGCATTCTTTGTAGTTTTCATTACTGTTGTTTGCCGTCATCGTTCTTGCAGATTTGTTATAATGGTAGTCAAAAATGCTTGTGTAAACGATGCACTTAAAGCTGATGCTTGTAATAACATGTCTTCTTGTCCTCTTTCCAGTTCATTATCTTCGTTGCTCTTTCAAAAGAAGTCAAGAACACCTTATTATGCATATCAGAGTGTATTGCGTTGGACTTTGGCATACATTTATATATTGTTTTCAACATTCATACTTTTACTTCCAAACAGGATCATCAAACTGCAGTTCTGCTTGGAACACAGTCGAACCCATACATAAAAGAAACAATTGATGGTCAGTACAAAGAGAAAATGTTTTCATCACAGAGCAAAGGAACTCTGCAGGCCCACGGTATCCTCCAGCTTGAAGATAACCAGGTAAATCTGGAGCATCCTTTGCAACCAGGGGTAAAAGAGCAAGTTCCGCAGACTGCAACTCTTGAGCACCATTCAGAACTAGATGCAAAAGTACAGGGACCTCAGGCTGCAGTGCTTCCACGTCCAAAGGGACTTGATTCAAAACCTAAGGTCCCGAATTATGAAATTCAAAACTCTGGTGCAGTCCTAGACAAATCAGAAAGCTCTGTTGTTTCAGAGCAAGCAGACAGTAGGCACTATAAGCAATCCCAGGAGAGGTCAATTGACTCCAGAGCACAAACAGCGAATCATTCCAACTCAAATTCCTTAGCAGCAGAACACAACAATCCCATTCTCTTTAATGAAAACAGCAGCAGCAATGCTGAACTTGCAGTGGAACTCACTCAAGGATCCACTTCAGGTAGCTCAACAGGAGAGTCCCCATTTTTGGAAGGGCGAGAGCAGAGCTTTCCGTCTGCTGATGATGACAGTAACAGCAGTGATGTTATTAAGCAACAACAAGAAAAACAAGAACAATGTAGACAAGAGCAGGAACACTTGAAACAAGAACAAGATGTGCTAGCAGAGTCTGTGAAAGCTGCTCGTGTTAGCAGTGATGGCAGCCATGACACATAGACAGTTATGTTGAATTTGGATCATTTTTTGTTGACAGAATTGGCCAGATTTATTTCACTGGCTTTCTATCATTACATATCACACTAATTGCTGATTAGTATTTATTCTTTCATAGCCTCCCTTCTTCTAGAAAGTTGACATCTTTCATGACCACACTTATTTAAGTTGTTAGCCAGCCGAATTCTGTCTAGAAAATCAGATTTTCTTGTTTCTGCAAGTGGGTTGGGTTTTCCATTTTGGCAGAAAAAAATCAAGAGACCCATTGCCTCACCAGAAGCCTGACTTAGGAGTCGATGTCATAAATGGTGATTCGTTAGGGGTTATGCTGAAATCTGATGTGTTGGGCCAAAAGACACAGATATCCCAGCTTAGCCTAAAACTACCAAACAATATCCTAATCACCTTTCTAAAGTCAGATGCAGAAGAAGAAAGTCACTCTTGTAGTGGTCTCTGGGACTCCTGGTGACTTTGGTCAAGTCCAGTCCACTTGCTCATTTTGTGTGTGCTGGTGAGCTGGCAATTCATTGTGCCAAACTGTGGTGCTGATCCTGCAAGAACCACAAGGGGAATTAGCTGTGGTTGTCTCACAGTGTACAGTTTTGTGTTTTGCCTTTTGCAGACTTCATCACAGTGAAGACCATAGTTTAATCCTCCATTAGCTAGAATATGACCAGATATACCCATCTACATTGGACCGCTGGTTACTTTATAACTGCTGTTTAAATACGACAGTGAGGGGCATTTCATGTGTTTTGCACTGGCACAGAAACGGAGCAAGTATCATCATCATGTAGCAGGTCCTTTGCAGAACGTCGCTCTCATCACAGTCTGCCTGAAAGAAACTCTGTCTCTTGCCAGTTCTCCCGCTTCATGCACTTTCACATTAGCAGGAGCATCACAGAGCAGGGTACTCACTTGCCCTCGCAATCGAAAAGGTTGCTGAAGGCTGAGGGCATGGTCTAAAGCCATGTGGATGTGGAAAGCAACGGGAAACTACCACATTACTAACCCAAGAAACTCATCATGGAGCAGGTATGGGGAACCCAATTAAGACTAAGACAAATAAGTCACTTGATTTTAATCTTTCAGTATGCAATCCTAGGGGGGGGGGGGGGGGGGGGGGGGACAGGTAACTAGACAATTGTTTGTCTGCCCAGTAACCAACTCTCCAGTTTTAAATAAAACTCACCAAAGTTAGTAGTCAGTAATTACTCACTTCTCAACAAATACCCTTCACTTTCAAATGTTAACTCCCCGTGTGGGTTCCAGGGCCCTATTATAGAGGGGAAAACAAGAATAGACCCACTTCCCACCCAAAAGCATGTCGTAAGAGTCGACTAATTGGGAGCTTCCTTCAAAGTTGGAGTGCATCTGCCTGAGAGGGGTAAAAGAGCAAGTTCCGCAGACTGCAACTCTTGAGCACCAATCAGAACTAGATGCAAAAGTACAGGGACCTCAGGCTGCAGTGCTTCCAGCAGTCTTCCAACAAATGAGTCAGATCTGTAAAACAGATGCACACGCAACACTCAGGTTCTGGAACAGGACTGCAGTCCAAAAGTGGATGAACAACCAGAACTTTCCATCAGAGTTTACAGTTAGTGAACAAAAAGAAGAAGAAAATGTGGACATCACTTGAAAAAAATCATGCACTTCCTGTTGAATTACGTATACTGTCAAATGCCTACTACAGTTGTCTTCCATAGTTGCTAATTGATGCTCAGGGTCTCAGGACAACCTGCAGGGATAAACACCTCCATTAGGACAGCGCTGACCTTTCAGGACAGACAGCACGCCAACAAAAGAGCATCTGCAACTATTTTTGTGTGTGTTGTTATTTACACTGTGGATTATTCTTGCCTTTGGTTCATTAATAGCCCGAATGATAAACACACACCATTTTGCTTTACATTTTCTCTATTGTTATATGGTTTTCCTGTATTGATTTATTTACAGTTGGTTTCTGTTGTTGATTAAGATTTCATAATTCTACATTGAATTATGTTATATGGTTTTGTTGATCCTACATTGAATAATGTTATATGTTTTTGTTGATCCTACATTGAATAATATGCTATCCTCCGAATAACGGTCGTAAATTATCGAGCCCGAAAAAATATACCCTAACAGGGCCTCAGTCACGTGTCAATTGCGCACTTCCGTGATCTTAAAATGCGCTCTTACAGCGACTTCCACCACCGCCGAATTGCGAACTTTGGGCAACTTCCGCGACCACCAAGAGTGTCCCCCACGCCGCTCACGAGCAACAGCTACCGTATCTCCTGCAGCTTCTTTCATTTTATTTGCTCGTGAGTCCTAGTCATCTAGTTTAGCCCCAATCCACGCCGCATGAGCGGCGTGGGGGACACTCTCTGCGGTGGCGGAAGTTGCCAGAAGTTCGCAATTTGGCGGTGGCGTTATAGTCCCCGGAAGTGCACAATTGACACGTGACTGAGACCCTGTTATGGTATTTTTTCTGCCTCGATAATTTACGACCGTTATTCGGAGGGTAGCCGAATAATGTTACATGGTTTTGTTGATCCTACATTGATTAATGATATAAGGTTTTGTTGATCCTACATTGAATTATGTTATATGGTTTTGTTGATCCTACATTGAATAATGTTATATGGTTTTCTTGATCCTACATTGAATAATGTTATATGGTTTTGTTGATCCTACATTGAATTATGTTATATGGTTTTGTTGATCCTACATTGAATTATGTTATATAGTTTTGTTGATCCTACATTGAATTATGTTATATGGTTTTGTTGATCCTACATTGAATTATGTTATATGATTTTGTTGATCCTACATTGAATAATGTTATAAGGTTTTGTTGATCCTACATTGAATAATGTTATAATGTTTTGTTGATCCTACATTGAATTATGTTATAAGCTTTTGTTGATCCTATATTGAACTATGTTATATGGTTTTGTTGATCCTTAATTTAATTATGTTATATGGTTTTGTTGATCCTACATTGAATAATGTTATAAGGTTTTGTTGATCCTACATTGAATTATGTTAAAAGGTTTTGTTGATCCTATATTGAACTATGTTATATGGTTTTGTTGATCCTTAATTTAATTATGTTATATGGTTTTTTTGATCCTACATTGAATTATGTTATATAGTTTTGTTGATCCTACATTGAATTATGTTATATGGTTTTGTTGATCCTACATTGAATTATGTTATATGATTTTGTTGATCCTACATTGAATAATGTTATAAGGTTTTGTTGATCCTACATTGAATAATGTTATAATGTTTTGTTGATCCTACATTGAATTATGTTATAAGCTTTTGTTGATCCTATATTGAACTATGTTATATGGTTTTGTTGATCCTTAATTTAATTATGTTATATGGTTTTGTTGATCCTACATTGAATAATGTTATAAGGTTTTGTTGATCCTACATTGAATTATGTTAAAAGGTTTTGTTGATCCTATATTGAACTATGTTATATGGTTTTGTTGATCCTTAATTTAATTATGTTATATGGTTTTTTTGACCCTACATTGAATAATGTTATATGGTTTTGTTGATCCTACATTAAATAATGTTATAAGGTTTTGTTGATCCTACATTGAATTATGTTATATGATTTTGTTTATCTTACATTGAATTATGTTATTCTTTTGTTTATCCTACACTGAATTATATTATATGCTATTATTTATCCTTTTGACATAATTTCTGGCAGTCTGGCTTCCCAAGCTTTGTTTGTCCCCAGTCTAACTGCAACAGCGCAATCTTTATCTCTCCCTTATTTTTTTATTCCATTTTGGATAGTAGAAAAAGAAGTCATAGAGTTTCTAAAGAACAAATCTTAAGAAAAGGATGTGAGTGCTGGACAACTTGTACACAAGAATAAAATCCATGGCAACCTTATAGATTTGAGTTTACAGAAATTCCTTAGATTGTTCAAATCAGTAATCGAAACGTTGTGAAGAGGCTAATTTATTGAAAACATCTTCCCCATGTGGATTCCAGGGCCCCATTATGAGGAAACAAGAAAAGATAATCTGTCTCCCCAACAATCATGTCCTAGGAGTCGATGAAGTGGAAGCAGCTTTTAGAGTTGCAGAAAATCTGTCTAAGATTCAGGGAACCAAGAATCTGCATACATGTAAGCCAGATCTATGAACTGGGTGTGCACAAAACACCCAGAACTTTCCGCCACAGTTGACAGTCTGTTAACACGAAGAAGAAGACATGTTGGCTGGAATAATGCCTGTGTTATGGCGTAGAGGGGTTGGTGAAATATGGAGAATCCTTTCTATTGCCCATAATGAGAACCACACTGTGTAGAACCTGATACATGATAGAGATGTCTTCTCCTGCAGTCGTCCTTAAAATGGCATTCGGTATGTTGTGTTGTTGTTTACAGCTAGACTGTGATATCTTTTTGGTGCAACATCAGCTGTCAGCAAATCCTTGATTAGTCGCTTTTTGCAGCATACTTATTAAGGAGCTGTGGGTGCGTTCTTGTTGCCCCCAAAACAAAACCTAGAATCCACATGATGGGGATGGATTCTGACCACAGAAATTATGTGCAGAGAGGTTGATGTTTCCCCAAGAATGAGATGATCCTTTGTATAGGACTCACCTTGATTTTGAGGCCGGATCTCTGGGAGAAAAAATATGATTACATAAAGTAATATACTACCATTGTATGAGACGCACACTGTCTATAGACCCAATATTTTGGGAAAGTAAGTTCATCTTATAATTGGGGAAATATGATAAGCACCACAGGTACGACATATGAACATGTATCGAAGGGTGTTGATACTTCCTCGTGGATGCAATTTAGGAATACTTGAAGAGGGCTAAGGGAAAGAAAATAGTCATTGTGCAATTAATTGGGTGACAGATCCCTTGACATTATTTTGTTTCTTCCTTGATTTATTTTGATTTTCTTTACTTTACAAATGAATATGCTTATTTTGCTGTAGCACTAGTCTGAAGCTTACTTTTTGTTGTTG